TCTCTAGTAATAAGCATGGAAAAAGACAGTCGAAGAAAGTTTCTTCAGTTCTGTACATGGCACTGGAAAGTGAAGCGAGATGGTGGAAAGTAAAATACAGTCCCTTCTGATGCATTCCATTGCTCAAGCTTCAATGCTCATATCGAACTCTGTCGCCGGGAAGGTGTGGCCCTTTTCATACAACACGAGAATAATTGTTTGCGTCTGCAAGTGAACGTATATTGATTTCGCTATCTCAACCAAAATCAGCCAGAAAGTTTATCAAGTCAAGACTGTCTGGCTTAGTCCTCCATAAAGTCGAGATCTATTTCCAGCACTTTCCTCCTGCAAACCAAAAACATCCGAACCCATTGGAAAAATGGCATTGCACCTGTCAATTTCATATCTAGCGACGACATCACTGACTGTGTATACTTGTAGGTGACCCAAATGTAGCACCCCTGATGGATACGAAAGCATCACCAAGGCGTAGAAGTCCATGTCCTCGGATGAGTTGCCTCGTGGTTCTTGCAGTTGACTCCATCTGTTTCTCCATTTCTTGTCAATCTCAACGAGGATGTTATACGAAGGGATCGCTCATCCTCTGCTGTAGGTTATTGCTTGCGGCATGATTTCCTTGATAAAGACGTATTCGTTATAACGGCTGCAACATTGTCTGCGAAAGATCCTGCTTTACAATAGTCTTTACGCATCGCTTAAGGACTAAAAAAAAAAAAAAAATATATACACATATACAAAGTGTTGGAAAAACCTCATCTCTAAGCAAACCTACAACTACGAATATTTCTCCCTAATGCTACTATCTCCAGCAGAAAAACAATATCTACACGACTCATTGAGTCAGTCGCCAGTAATAAGACCAGACTCGCGGTCCGCGCATCAATATAGACCTCTTGAAGCTACTACGTCATTTTTACCGGGATCTAATGGGTCAGCAAGAATTCGGTTGCTGGAAGGTAGTGAATGTATAATCAGTGTCAAGGCCAAAGTTGTGCCCACTGAGCTAAACGCCTTTGAGGATGTTGCCCTGCTCAATTTGATTGATGTTGATGTTGACATTGCTGGGTATCGAGATGATTCCAATTACATTTCCAATTTGAAATTTCAATTGACAAATCTATTACATCAAAATTTCCCTCACTTGGTACTACAATTGACGACAAGGTATGCGTTTAGGTTATTTATTGATTGCGTCATCATCAGCCATCTGTCCTATCCATTGAGTTTGATGAGCTTGACAACTTACTTGGCCTTGAAAACGACAAGATTACCATTGTTGGTCAGTGATCCAAATGACTTACAGGTTGCTGAATATCCCACATTTTCCGATGATTGGGACGATTCCAGAACTATCGAAGAAATAATGGTGGATAAGAAACTTGGCCAAGCTTTCAAGCCCCCTATATTTGTAACTCTTGGAGTTGTAGGTAAGAACTTGATGTTTGACCCATCAGTTGAGGAAGAACAGGTCTTGGAAAACGGGTTGGTGGTTAGCTTCTACAATGACAAAGTCATAACTCCTATAACCAATGGAAACTTTGCTTTGAATTCAAACAATTCCAATTTCACCGGATTGAATAAACTAGTATTGGTGAAATCGATCGCCTTGTGTAATCAATATTGTCCAGCCATTGTTAAAGCTTTGGATGCATTGGTTGAACAGGAGGTTGGCGAAAGTAATTTGTCTATTTTCTAAAGAAGGTGTCTATAGATATAAATATTTGCATGTTCATTAACCACTAACAATGTTGAGTAGAATATGCATGAACTATTACAGCAGTTGCCGTTTGAATATTCATTGATCGTACTATTCCAACTTGCTTGATTTCAACGCAGATGTCGAGCTCGGCTAGCAAGTCTCCCGGTATACCTTCCCTTTCTCTACCTAGCAATATCAACGACTTTTTTGGAAACTTCAATTCATTGTTTAATTCCACCGATTGATCAGTTTGTTCTAATCCAATCAATGTGTACCCTTCCCTCTTTTTCTCTAGCAAATAGTCGCGAACATTATCTGGCGTCACTTCAACCATTGGCATCCATTGATCAGCAGTGACTGCAACATTCTTAAATTGTGGGTGTTTGCTTATTGCCATATCATGAATGGTCAATAATCCTGCCCCTAATACATCGCTCAAACGACATATACCTCCCAAGTTGGGTGGCTTATCAACAAGTGAAGCAACCACAATCAAGTCGCTTCTGATGAGGTCCTTACCGGTGTTGGATGCATCCTCGGTATCCATTACTGCATTCCATGCCCCACTCTTTGTCTGCAAAAGTCGTGACTGCACTACTGAATCAATTGGAGTAACGATTGGCTTCTTTTTATTAAGTTGTTGTTTGGCCCAAATGTCCTTTTCATCGTGCCCTATAGGATGTCTCAAGTGGCCTGTTTGTGCTTGAGATAGATTGTTGCTAAATTGAGCTTCACTAATAAAGTCAATGTCATCGCGATCGGTTAGGCGCAAAACAATTCCTCCTGCCAATGCCACCAAAGTCAAGTCCTCGACTATATCCCAAAGTAAAGCATCTCCACTTCTAAATTGACCAAATGAATCCGAAGTTGTTGCCGAGTGGTATAAGTTGGCAATTATGCTCCTTACGTTGGCATCTATAGGTAAATCCTTTTTGGTGATTTCGTTTTGGATCGAAACTACCAACGACAAGGAAAAGTGACGAATAAGTTTCTTCAGTGAGGTTGCTCCAGGAACAACAATGTTTATAAACTCGGTCAAGGTTTCCGCTTCCTTTGATGGGTTTAGTTTGCAAATCATTAAAAACAAGATTCGCAAGTATGACGTAGCTACTGCAGGTTTCAAATTGCTCATGTTTGTCGTTAACTCTTGGAAAATCTTGTTGGTTAACTCATCGTCGTAAAGCAGATTGTAGGCAAGGATCCACTCAATGTACATTCTTACCAATGGGCTTGGTTCCGTCGATATACGCTCAAGAACGAGATCAAAGTCAATCACCAATTTATCAACAAGGGAAGTCAAAATAGTGTAAAGCTGTAATCTATTCCATTCTTCAAAACTGTCAGTTGTCCGAACTGGATTGAAAAGGGAATACTTGCTTTCATTCTCAACGATGTAGCTGTAGATACTTTGTGCAAATTCTCTTGATTGAATCGAGTTGAATATAGCCATCAAATTAACCCTTGAGCGAACTTCTTGTGGACCATAAGCAGCTTGATAGATATCGGAATCATCACTGTGCGCTACTTGTTTGTCAAAAATATCTGCCATAACATCAACAACTTTGAAATACGATGTCTTTTGCTGGTACACCAAAAACCCACTGACCAAAATCTCCGGTAACCACTCTACTTTTTCAAATTGCTCTTGGTTGGTTAGTTGAGCACGCACCAAAGCTTGAGTGAGGGTAGGAAGCAAGCTACGTCTGGTAGCAGAATGTTCCAATACTGACAAGCAAAATGCCCTCAATTTGGATGCTTCCTCCTTGTGACAAATAACTAGAGGATGCAATGATGCTTTGATTATGGCAAGCTGTAAATCTCGTTGACTCAAATGTAACCTTCCAGATTCAACAACACCAAACCACAACTCTGATAGGAAATCGACAATTTCAGTTGGAAGCTGTACATGTGATGCAGTGTCAAGATAGTCTTGAATCAAGTTAACCATGGCGTAGTTTCCAGTGTAACTCGAAGACGTGGAGTCGAATGTTTTGAACGCAGACGGGAAATATGTCGGATTTTTTTGAAAGCTGATCTCTAATGATTTGTAGTATTCCCCATCAATTCTATCCTTTATTTTGTAGAAAAATTTATCCACTTTAGTCAACTCATCGGTATTGGTTAGCAAATTTCTCTTGAGTTCAACTAGAATATTTTCATCTTCAAACTGGAAGGTAGAGTTACGATAAAGATTGTTGAAAAGTTTCATTTTGATGTGTACGTTGTTCAAGATTGACAAATCTTGAGATTGTAAGTCCGATTCAATTTGAGACCATAGTTGAAGTATCTTGTCGTCGCTGGGAACTGCAAAGTTGAACTCGGCGTAGTCAGCATTCGAAAGACTTTCCAAGATCGCTATCTCATCCGAATTTACCAACACTTGCAACTCTTCTGCAATTGATTTCAATGTCGCTTTTTTGAATCCAGACTCTAATAACTTAGCCAACAAAATTGGTTCCGTCCGTGACAAGAAAAATGTTTGATTTGAAATATCGAGTAATAGGACTTTAGCGTCAATGTCGTCACTTTGTTCAAGAAATTCCTCCAATCCTTCAATTTCACTCACATAACGCTCAAATTGGCTTAGATTATCATGCAATAAGCTAAATCCATTAAATTTGGTAAATTTTTTCAAAGCCATCATAAAATTGTTCAAGTTGGGCCTGAAATTAAGCAACAAACGCAAGTTTGATGTCTGACTATAAGTTTCAAGCAATGTGCCTTCTGATTTGATTTCAAATAGTTCCAACAATGGCAGGTCGTGTACACCATATTGTAAAACCTTTCTCTCTTGTAACCCATCAACCAAACCGTGCATGATCAAAATCCTTGTGGGGGCAAAATTGTGTTTAAACTCTGCACAAACACGCAAGATTGATAAAGCCACAGCTTGAAATTCATTCTCCTGCTTCAAGTTCTTAACCATGTTAGTGATCAAGTCCTTCAACTGATAGGCAAATGGGCACTCAACCTTCCCATTGACTACTTTCACATTCATATTAGCAGCAATCATTAAGTTGGGCAAAAATGACTTCTCCAAAATTGGCAATGCATCTTTGATGAGATACAAATTATGCAAGGGTATAGACAACAACAACCTAGTGGTGAGCTTCCTAACTGAATCAATCGTTGCAGTAAACCCCGTAGAAAGTAAGCACCAGCCCCAAGATGGTTTAATCAAAGAATCGGGTGAGATTAGTCCAGCGATGTCGGTGAACCCGGCTTCAGCTTGATGGAGGGAAGTATCAATTGCCAAGATTTCGTAAAGTGTGACATATCTCGCCCATTCATTTAAATAAGCATTTGTTTTGTTCAAATCCCACATAATGAAAGCATTATCTAGTTGGCTATTGATTGATTTGATTGACAATTGCAATATCGATACCGAAAACTTTCTCTGTTCATGTATCGTACTGGTTAAGCCACGTTGAAGTACGGACCAATACTGATTTGCTTGTAAAAGAGTCTGATACTTTGTGTTCTTTTGCAAGTCCTTGCTGCTATTGAGATATCTCAACCATAGAGTAAATGCCGATGACTGCTGAAATGATGACTCTGACGACTCAAGAGTAAATATCACCCTCCAGATTAGATCAAATTCACTTGAACCATTCAGCAACACTTTTATTCTCCATCTCAACAAGTTGGATGCTTCATTGGACACGAATTTCTCAGCACTTCCCAACAAAAGTAAAAGCAAGTGATCCAATTGAAGAACTGAAGTTTGAGACTGTTTTTGAAAAATTTGGCTCATTAGTGCAAACAACGCATTCAATTCGGTATCTGCAACTTCAAATTCGTCTTTGCTGTCCACATGTATGTTGAATAGTTGATAGTATGTAGATCCAAAATCTGCCTTGTGCTTATCGATGTACTGTTTTGTGATGTCTGTCACTTGATCTAGGACTTGGGTTTCCAATTTAGGCAATGCACTAATCAACTTTGATATCGAATCAATATATTCACCGTCTAACAAGTGTTGATAACAGTAAGATGTTATGGTTTCAAGTGTTTGATCATTGATCTCGACATTATGCAAAAGTTCCACCAAGACATCGACATCGTCTTTGTCGTCAGATAGTTTTCTGGAGAGGCTATCAATTATTTCCAGTTGCTTATCGTGGCTAACATATTTGCTGATCAACGATGCCGCACTCATGACTCTCGTGGTAAAGATTCAGTTGCCAAGGTTTGGTTGTAAAATCAATCAGCAGAATGGGTGGAGAAAAAAAAAAAAAAAAAAAAAGTGATGCGCATCAAAGACGATACTGGCACTGCTACCAAATTCTTCCCAATCTCTCTTGGTGCATCCACTTTGCCTTTATCATAAAGTTGAGGCTCTATGAAGAAGCAAATATCGCAATTATTTCAAAGAAAACTAGTAGCCCGTGCCTAAGTATCGACCCCCTCTATATCATTGCTGCCCTTTGTATTCGGGGGAGTAGTAATTGTACCAGTAAGAAATTTCATACTTGAACTGGCTGAGAATGTTGATTAGGAATCAGCGTATCGTGAAGCAGGACAAACATCCTCCATTTCTGGCGTAATCAACCTCCTAGGATCCTGAAAAGTGGGGGGGTTCGTATTCTTTCTCCATTATTTTGTCTATGCTACGAGTTGCGGCGACAGTTTTTTTGAGGTACTTCCAACAGACGGCGTTTTCATCAAAATACTTAAAATTGCATGTGTGTGTGTGTGTGTGTGTGTGTGTGTGCGTGTTACAAAATTGGTACTCGTAGGTCTTACGCAGGGTAACATTTTCAGGGCCCTCTCTCACATCATAAACGTCAGCCGCACTGTTATATCCATTTTAAGTGCTCTATTCCCGTTCTGACAGAATCTTCCCCCCCCCAAGAAGATATTATGAACTAGTAGTAAAGTTTAGCGAGGCTTGCAAAAATTGGTACGGATAATTATAGCGAGGTCACGAGACAAATGCAAAGACGCCTTAAATTAATTACCGGATTGGGAAGGTGGGGGAGGAGAAAGAGACTAATAGATTTCTTTTTTTCTTTTTTTTGTCTTTTGTTTTTGTTTTTGTTTTTGGTCTTGTGTAACATTCAGTTTTACTTTACGCCGTCGGAGTTTTTGCAAAACGCCGTACTCAAACTACGATCATTAACGAGGATTGGTGCTACTGTTCCCTAAACATAACATGAGCTGGTTGTAGTATGGGATAAATCGTTCAAGTCTATATCCTTATCATTGTCTCCCGTGGTGGAGACTTGTCAGGGGAGAAGAGCTGGTCCCAGACGCTACATGTTTGGAGAAAAGGAATCACTCATCTCGCTTGTTGCCCTCTTATACTGAATCAGTTGAAATTAAGCGAACTTATGAATTATCCTCTCTCCATTACAAGAAAGTAGGACGTTTGATAAGAATGTATTTTGCCACCAAAGTGAGCAACGCAGCATCTATTAGCGTACATGCGTCTGTTCTCACTTTTTCAATCTTTTGTATACAAAGCATTTTATTGGTGTCTCTCTCTGCCCAAGGCGTACACTTTTAAAAAAAAAAATAAAAATAATCATACGGTGAATACCCCCCCCCCATATACGAAATACAATTAACAACTGAACTAAAAAATTGAAAAAAAAAAGGAAACTGGAAAAGGAAAAGAAAGACAAGAAAATAAATGTGGGGTCACTACCACCCTTAGTTGGATCGGTGCCTGACTAGCCATTTCTTATTTTAGCAATGACTCGCTTGTTTATACTGAAAACTGTAAGTTTATTCAACCTATTTAACAGCTGAAGAATGTTTTTTAGTTCGTGATGTTTAATAGCTTTGACCTAAATGCCTATCTGTCATCAAATTCGCTGCTCTCTCTTTAGTTATGTGATTAATTGATAGATAACAGAGAATATTAATTTCTTTTTTCTTTTTTCTTCTGTCCATTGTATTTTAGAGTGAAAGAGAGAGAGTGCTTCATGATAAGCCACAAACCTAAAAAGATTAACTCAACACTCGAGAAGAGATACCAATAATCCATAATCCATAAACCAAAAAAACTTACTGCATATCATAGAGTACACAGAACAACAACAGTAACAAAGCTACAGTGTGCGAGAGAGCGAGAAGGGAGTTTAACAATGTATTGTTTTCTTTCTTTTTGTAAGCATTTTTTCTCTTTATCTCTAAGCATAGCTCTTCCTTCTTTTGGTTTATATATAAAGATACCGAATATTGCCTCTTCTTTTATTTTGGTTTTTATTTTTTTTTTTCTTCTTTTCGAAATATCAAGTTCAACAAAACCATACTGCGGTCAGTCACTTCTACTACAATTACTTAAGCTATGGGTATCAAGGACAACTTGGAAAAGATTGGCGTTACACGAAAGAAGATTTATCGTGGATCATCAGCATCTTTAAACATAGTGATTTCCAATTCACAAGTGGTTGAAGTTGATGAAAAGACGGGTAAAGTATTATCGCGTTCCAACTCCGAAGCAAGCGCCCACACATTTGAACCAGAAACTCTAGAAAGAGGTTTAAAGTCCAGGCATGCTCAATTGATTGCCATTGGTGGTGCTATTGGTACTGGGTTGTTTGTTGGGTCTAGTACAGCATTGGTCACTTGCGGACCAGCGTCACTTTTCCTCTCGTATGTTATTATGTCGTCAGTGGTTTACTTTGTCATGCAGATGTTGGCAGAAATGACAATATTCTTGCCGGTGCCTGGTAATGGTCCATTGGCATTCATTAACGATTGCTTGTCTCCTTCATTTGGATTTGCATTTGGTTGGAACTATTGGTATGCATTCAGTGTGTTGGTTGGTGCCGAAGTCACTGCTGCTGCTGTTGTGATTGAGTATTGGACAAAGTCGGTAAGTACAGCTGTATGGATCACCATCTTGTTGGCAGTTATCATATTTATGAATATGACTTCGGTCAAATTCTTTGGTGAAGCTGAATTTTGGTTTGCATCGATAAAGATTATTGCTTTGGTGGGGTTGATCATCTTGAGTATTGTGTTGTTTTTTGGTGGTGGTCCAAACCATGATCGATTGGGGTTCAGGTATTGGAAACATTCACCTTTCAAAGAACATCTTACTGGTGGCGCAACTGGAAGATTCTTGGGGTTGTGGACAGCAATTATCAAATCGGGGTTCTCCTATATTACTTCGCCTGAATTGGTATCCACAACAATGGGTGAAACTGTGGCACCTAGATATAATGGAGCCAAAGCATCGCGTCGTTTCATCTGGCGTTTGATCTTCTTTTACGCTTTGGGTACTTTGAGTATTAGTGTCATTGTCAGCTCAAATGATAAGCAATTGTTTGGTGGTGCTTCTGATGCTTCGGGTAGTGCATTCACGGTTGCTATAAAGAATGCTGGTATAAAAGGTTTGAACCATGTTATCAATGCTGTCATTCTAACGTCGGCGGCATCGGCTGGGAACTCATTCTTATATTCGGCTTCAAGAGCAATCTTCTCCATGGCACAAAGAGGCAAAGCTCCCCGAATTTTTACTACAGTCAACCGATTTGGAGTTCCATACTATGCTGTTGCCATATCATCAATCTTTGGATTCTTGGCCTACTTGAATGTTTCTTCTTCCTCAGCAAATGTGTTTAACTGGCTTACAAACATCTCCACCATTTCGGGGTTCTTGGCTTGGTTAGCTTTGGGATTTACTTATCTTCGTTGGAGAAAAGCAATTGCTTTCCATGGCCTTAGCGATAGAGTGCCATACAAGTCTAAATTGTTGCCTTATGGTGCCTACTATGTCATCTTCATGATGGCAATCATTACCATCACCAACGGATACGCAGTGTTTTTTGATTTCAACGGGGCTGATTTCGTCGCTGCATATGTCACCTTACCCATTGTCGTTGGTTTGTATGCTGCACATCGTATTTACGACTATTGGAAAAACGGAACTACACGCTGGTTGGTACCTATTCAAGAAATTGACTTGGTGACAAATTTGGATTTAGTTGAAGAGGAAGAACAGAATTATGAACCACGTGTGCCCAAGAATTTCTTGCAAAGGTTTTGGTTCTGGTTGGCCTAGATGGCAGGGTGGAAATTGGAGCACTCTAGATGTTGTAATTTTAGTGCCTAACGACATAGTAATGAAATTTCAATAGTTGAATTTAGTGTAAGACCAGTCTCTTTGCAGAATTATTGACAACTTCGAGACCCAAGCATTCACAAGAGGTAAACTACAAGCTTTTTCGATTTTGCCAGGAATTATTCCGCGAGCTCGGCAGATGCAGCTGTTGATTCAGGAAGGGGGGAGGGAGGGAGGCCGCAAGAAGTCTTGGATATCTTTACAGCACCTACATGCCGAGAATAACAGCGGAATGAATTTGAGAAACGTAAAACCGCACAAAACCAAGTTTTCGATAGATTATATTGCGTTTTAAGGTTTTATTGTGGTTTAGTGCAATCGTGCACGTGGCCAGAAATTATTCTGAGAAGTGGGGGACTGAGCAGTTGTAACTGATGTGAAAAAAAGGCTACTTATTGTAGAGCAAATGTGTGTGTGTGCCGTGTGTGCCGTGTGTGTATGCGGTGTCAAAGCTGTGCTCGGTCATGAACTGAGTGCTCGAATTCATGACCCTAATCCGTAATGAAAAATTCCATTCAAGGCTTTCACTGGCTAGATAATGATGAAACTTTTCAACACAAGAAAAGATCAATACCGGTATTGTGTCATAATTACAATTCCATTTTGAATTGGAAAACCAAAACAAATGCGATTTAGCCGATGGTCCCCATGTGGCACCTTCTTATTGTCCTCCAACAATAGGAATTTCAATTGGTTTGCTCGTAATTCACTAATGGCCTTTAGCAATCTTTTGTGAGAGCAAAAGAATGCAGCTTTGGTACGGCACGAAAAGTCTAATATAAAAGGGGCTCGAGATTCCTTGTCAACACTACAATCTACTACTACCACTGCTGCTGCCACCACCACCAACACCACCAACAAACAATGCTAGTGTCGTCAATTGCTTTTGCTCTTGGTTTCCAGACTGTTGTTGCTACTCCATACTCCGCACCATACTTTGGAAAGTTCTTCCACGGTCAAAGAACCTCTGGTGACTCTTCATCCTTGGGAAATCAGTATCCTGTCAAAGACTGTACCAGCTTTATTGCATATACACCAGATTCTTGGTCTTGTCATAATACCTCTGCAATTCCAGCAGAAGACCTGTGCTGTTTCGAAGATTTTGGTATTTTGTTGCAGTCTCAATTCTGGGATTTCAACACCACTTTGTTGGAATTGGCAATTAATGGTTCAACTCAGGATGTGATTGAGGCAGACGTTAGAAGCAAGATTGAGGCATTCGATGATGATCTCAAAACTACATTCACCATTCACGGTTTGTGGAATGATCTTTGTAATGGGTCCTATAACCAGTACTGCCAACCAGATTGGGAAGTCAGCAACGACAGGGACAATCTCTCCTACCTCATTGGTGAAGAGTTCAACAAACCTGAGTTGTTGAAAATTATGAAAAAGTACTGGATCAACACACTCAAGTCTAATGTTGAAGACCAAGCTAGTGCCGCTCTATGGGAGCATGAATACAACAAACACGGTACTTGTATGAACACCTTGCTGCCATCATGTTTCACTGGAAACTATCTGCAATTTGAAAACGCTGTCAATTTTTACGAAAAGACTGTGGAAATCTGGAGCCAGCTTGACACATTCCAGTTTTTGTCAAGTGCGGGAATTGTTCCCACTGTGGCCAGACAATACAAGTTGAGTGATGTTGAAGCTGCTTTACAAAGGGCCCATGGTGGTTCTGTTTACGTTGGTTGCTTGAATAACTCAATCAGTGAAATTTGGTACTATTACAATTTACAAGGAAGTGTTTTGACAGGAACCTACAGACCAATTGATTCTCTTGGAAACAGCACTTGTAAGGAAAATGTCTGGTATCTTCCAAAGTAAGCAGAAATAAACTTTGAAGGAAGGAAAAGTTTAAGAAAAAAAAAAAAAATTCAGTTCTAAAGCACGTTTCACCTTTTTCCCGAGATTAAAAAAAAAAAAAAAAATATCAGATTTTCACCCAGTTTTTAATATATAGCCAAGTTTTGAATTGAGCCAGTTGACATTCTACTTGTAAGATAAAAAAAACTGAACGACATCGGTGGTGAGTTATGCCACTACAGCGTATACAGTTGTTTACTGATTGTGAAGTGTAAAGGAAATGCATTTAATGTACGTCGGCACGTGATGTCAATTAAAGCACAAAAAGAAGTATGATGAGTGGGGTGGGCTTAGCTTGTTAGATAGAGATAGTCATTGCATGTATATTATGTCTTCATCTAAAAAGTTTAATACACAACACAACCAGTCTAAAGTTGCAAATAGGCAAAAGTACTTCTTTCTTACTGTTTAGAGCATGTTGTGGTAGCCCTTGAGTAGAGTTAGAAGAGTATACTTTGTAAACAGCAGTTGTGCCTATGCTCTCAAACATTACTATCGTAAGTCCTATTGTTACTCTTTCACTCTTCACCTCGTTAGTTTTACTCTCTCTCAAAAGTTAATTCTTTTTATTTTTAGTAAATAACAAAAAGAAAACAAAAAAAAAAAATATATATATCCAATACAATACATATACACACTACACTGGCAAGCACAACACATCCACACTCAACCACTGCCAGTGTGTTACTTGGAGTCATATTAGCTATTATCATCACCGCGTACTCGTCACCTAGTAGTTAGCTAATCAGTGCAACTGAGTATCAACTAAAGATGACAGAGGAAAGTTCCAGCTCAAGGCTGAGCAATATCGAGGAACCTCGTGCCAACGACACTTATATGCCTTCACCAGTATCTGGCCATCCGCAGGAAGTACTGGCTAGCTCAGATCAACCATCGATACCTGTTCCCCCTCCAACAAGTAACTCGTCCAGCAACAACACTCTAGCTGTGCCTAATCCAGTACGAACGAGGCGAAAACGTGGTTTGTCTTTGAGATCACAGTTGTTTAACAAGGCATTTAATATTCAACAAGAAAACTCTTTGCCCGAGAGTGGTGGTCAACAAGCAGCTACATCTGCATCTGCGTCTGCATCTGCATCTGCATCCGAATCTGCATCCGAATCCGCATCTACTCCTCTGAACAATATTGAGCTTCAACCAATCTCCAATCGGGGAGTGGTACACACTTCACCTCCACAAATCAATATTGAAAAATCGGATCCACTACCCACTTACGAGTCTTCATCGTCTTCTGCAAATAAATACGAGCCATACAACGTCTTGGAATCTCACTTGACAAAATCAACAACCCATTTAACTTTAGAAAGCAAACAATCAAGTATCAGTGCCTCGTCATTTTTATCAAAGAGGCAGCGATTGCACAGCACATCACAGAATAGGTTTTGGAGACGACTAAGAAAATTGCGGAATAAGATCTGGGGTGCTAAAGTTTCTCAGTCAACCGAGTCAGGAAGAATCATCCCTCTTTCGGTGAACCCAAGCGGAGTAAATGATTTTTATCAAGATGAATACTATTCTCCCAAATCAAAAGCATACATCGATGAAAGAACCAATGATCCCTACGTCAACAATGTCGTTACCTCTTCAAAGTACACGATATACTCCTTTCTTCCCAAACAACTTCGAGCACAGTTTTCAAAGATTGCAAATTGTTATTTCATGGTGGTTGCTATTATGCAAATGATACCTGGATGGTCAACAACTGGTCACTACACGACCATCATCCCATTGTGTATTTTCATGTCCATATCGATGGCAAGAGAGGCCTTTGATGATTGGAAAAGACACGGCCATGACAAGGAGGAAAACAGTAAACTCACGACTGTGATTAGAGAAGATGAGGAGTTGAGTAGTTTTGACACCCATTCTATCAACACCATTTTGACTGAAACGATACCAGTGGCATCTGGCCGCGTTACTAGTTCTTCAGCCTTGCCTAATGCATCAGCAAATTCCTCATTATCTGATTTGGAAGAGTCGATTAATGCTGAAACTCTTCTGTTTGCCAACATAGACGCAATGCAACGATACAACTTGAAGGAAGTACCCACAAAATGGAAGAATGTCAAGGTTGGCGATATCGTGAAAATTAACCAGAACGAATGGTTTCCAGCAGATGTAATCTTGATTGCGACAAGCGGGGATGATTTACAAGAAGCCTTTGTTGAGACTATGGCTTTAGATGGAGAAACGAATATGAAGTCGAAATTCCCACACCCTGAACTTTCGAAAAGGGCACGCACTGCACCTGGGTTGAAGAATCTTCACACTTTGGTCACCACTGAAGACCCAAATATTGATTTGTACAACTTTGAGGCGTCTTTTTACATGAATGAGCAGGTATATCCTTTGGGTCCAGACAATGTGGTGTATCGTGGTAGTGTCTTGAGGAACACTGAGTCTGTTTTGGGAATGGTTGTGTTTACCGGTGAGGAGACTAAAATCCGAATGAATAATATCAAAAACCCAAGAACTAAAGCACCAAAGTTGCAAAAAAATATAAACTATATTGTTGTCTTTATGGTTTTCGTTGTGGTGATGTTGTCTGCATTTTCAACTATGGCACAGCGTCTCAAGTACAGCCAGAACAAAGACAAAGCATGGTACCTCTACCAACAAGATGCCGGGGTAGCTGCCACATTAATGGGATTTATCATCATGTACAACACTTTGATTCCGTTATCGCTTTACGTCACGATGGAGATTATAAAGGTGATGCAATTGTGTTTCTTACAATTCGATATTGATATGTATGATCCGAAAACAAATACGCCAGCAGATGCAAAAACCGCAACCATTTTGGAGGAATTGGGTCAAGTATCTTATATCTTCAGCGACAAAACAGGCACTCTTACAGACAACAAGATGATATTTAGAAAGCTAAGTGTGTGTGGTGTGAGTTGGCTACATGATCTTGATCTTATGCTTAACGAGCGCGAAAATCCGGGAGAGCAAGAGGTTGTCAACTTGGTACAGAGACAAAGCGTGCATCTTCCAAGACAGCCAGTCCTGAACGTTACCAATGGCGCTAATAACACAAATAGGTTTAGCACCACGTCAATTGCACGTGAAAGTACGGATATCAGGCAGTCAGGATTAAGCGCAAAGACGTGGGTATCAACAGCGCAGCCACATAAAGTTCAAGACACATTGAATACGTTGCAACTAATCAGGCATTTGCAATTGCATCCTCAGACCATATTTTCTCGCAAGGCGAAATTTTTCTTATTATCGCTAGCATTGTGCAATACATGTTCTCCTGTCAAGAAGAATCATAAGAAATTTAAAGTTAGTGAGTCTTACTCGTCATTGGAGGATATTTCGCATGATGCGGATGATGATGATGCAACACTCACATATCAAGCAACATCTCCTGATGAAATAGCCTTGGTCCAAGCCGCCAGGGATTTGGGGTACGTGATCTTTGACCGCCAATCTGAAAAATTGCAAATTAGAACCTATCCCGAAGGTTTTGATAGTGACCCTGTTGTAGAGGAATATCAGGTTTTGGATGTCATTGAGTTTTCGTCAGCAAGAAAGAGAATGTCGGTAGTGGTGAAGTTCCCAGATGGTCGTATTGCACTCGTTTGTAAAGGGGCAGATAATGTCATTTTGGAGCATTTGAAGAACTCTACACTTGCAAAGGAAAAAGCAAAGGAGATCTCCACGCAATCAACAGAGAGAAAAATGCAGGAAGCAGACGCGGTATTGCAATCAAGGTTTTCACAAGATTTTGAATCAAGAAAATCCGGGTTTTCTTTGCGACAAAGTTTGAATTTGAGTGAGCGAAGGATGAATACTATTGACAACGCATTGATGGGGCTTGAAGAAGAACAGGATGAAGAGGTTGCTAGTATTGCGAATCAAGCGAGAATGTCCTTGCATCTTCAACAAGCCCAAAAGTATAGCGTAGATGATGATGATGGTGATGATGATGATGATGAAAACGCTGCAGTCGTCAATGAAGAACCGCTGTCAAAATTGCTTGAAACTCACCAATCCATTCCTAATGACAAACTTGTACTCAATGATGAATTTGTCATTGAAAAAACATTGGAGCATGTGGAGGAATTTTCAATCGAAGGGTTGCGTACGTTGCTTTACTCCTTCAAGTGGTTGACTGAACAAGATTTTGAGGAATGGCATAATGAGTACGCTGAAGCCAAAACCTCTTTAAAGGACCGAGCCCAGTTGGTTGAGGATGTTGGGGGCAAGATTGAATTTGACTTGGAATTGTTGGGTGCTACTGCAATAGAAGACAAACTTCAAGATGGAGTTAGTGAAGCAATTGTAAAACTTCGAAGAGCAGGTATCAAATTGTGGATGCTAACAGGAGACAAGCGAGAAACTGCTATCAACATTGGGTACTCGTGTCGTCTCATTAAAGACTATTCCACAGTGACGATCTTGTCTATCGACGAGGGAAAGCATGCGGTTTCAGATAAGATAGCGTCGCTATTGAGAGATATACAAGGTGGAGGTATTGCCCACAGTGTGCTAGTCATCGATGGTGGTACATTGGGCGAGATTGAAAACGACTCTCAGTTACTGTCTCAGTTTTTTGAGCTTTGTGTGGAGGTAGATTCAACAATATGTTGCAGAGCTTCGCCGAGTCAGAAAGCAAATATGGTCAGCTCTGTTCGGTCATTGAGAAAAAAAGCGGTCACTTTGGCAATTGGAGATGGGGCTAATGACATTGCAATGATCCAAAGTGCAGATATTGGTGTTGGAATAACTGGAAAAGAAGGCTTGCAGGCGGCTAGATCTGCTGATTATGCCATTGCCCAATTTCGGTTTTTGATCAAGCTTTTGTTGGTTAATGGGCGGTACAATTATGTCAGGACTTCGAAGTTTGTATTGTGCACGTTTTACAAGGAGCTTTTATTCTACTTGACTCAGTGCATATATCAACGCAACACGCTATTTTCTGGGTCATCTATGTATGAGAGTTGGTCGCTTTCCATGTTTAATACCTTGTTCACTTCATTGCCTGTGCTCTGTATTGGAATGTTTGACAAAGATTTGAAACCGTCCACGTTGATTGCTGTACCTGAGCTTTACGCAAAGGGACGCTTGTACCAAGCATTCAATCTTCGGGTGTTTCTTTCTTGGATGATTTTAGCGACGCTTCAAAGTGTTGGGGTGGAATTTTTGGCATTGTACATTTGGGGGTTCACAAGTTTGAGAGACAACACTACGTTTGCGTTGGGCTCTTTAGTATTTGCGGCTTTGGTGATTATCATCAATGCCAAATGTACTTTGATTGAGATGCAAAATAGACAGTGGCTCGCATTTGCATCATTTATCATTTCAGTTGGCGGATTTGCTGTATGGAACGTTTTGATTATGTTCCTCTATAGACTGAAGGCATCCACCATCTTTTATGTATCCTATGGACTTATCACGTGGGGTTTGGATCAAAGCTGGTGGGCGGCGTTGCTACTCATTGTGATGGTGCCATTGTTCTTTGATATTTTGATCAAGGTGTTCACCTTTATGTTCAATCCTAGTGATGATCAAATCTTTCAGGTGTATGAGAAGGATATGAAGTGGAGAAAATTGTTTGAACAATCTTCATACAAAGAGTTGTTTCAAGGATGGACTTTCCCTCGTGATCCATCGACCACAAAGACTCTGCTTTTCAAGATATTGAAAAATATTGGCATCAATGTGGACTTTAGTGCGAGAAAACCCATTGAATTACCGGACAACGAAGACGACAATGGTTCAAATAATCAATCAGCACTCAGCAGAAAAAGAGCGGGAACTAATCCAATGGATCACGAACTCCCTGCAAATGGTGACGGTGTTGGACTCTACTCTCATGATAACCAACCATACGATTTAGTTGATGCTGACGGCTATGAGATTCTACCTAGTGGGAAAAGAGTCAGGATCAAAACAAGAGAAGGCAGAAGCTGGTCACTTTCTAAAACTTTTGGGCTTAGGAAGAAAAGAAACTCAACGGACTCTGAAGAAGATGTTGATGCGATTATTGATAATCGGTTGAAAGATTTGCGTGAGGAAGAAGAAGGGAGACAATAGTGTAGTGAGACAAACTTGAGTAACATTTTATGATTAACGATATATAATATTGCACTTTGTAGATTTAGTAGGCTTCCTCTGTGTGTGAAAAAGAAAAGATTGAGCGTGGAGCTGCAAAAAAGGAATAAAGAAAAAATAAAAAAAATTTAACGACAACTGCAGGACTCGAACCTACGCGGGCAGAGCCCAAAAGATACCTTGAGTTAATTCAAGTCTTTCTCCTTAACCACTCGGACAAGTTGCCAACTGAGCCAAAGTGCTCTTTTCTTCAGAAGAATTTATTGGGATTGTTGATTAAGCCAATTTTTAGAAGCTTTTTCATCAACTTGAAATGCTGGAAATTGGATAGTTATCAATGCAGCCAAACGGACGTTAAAAGACACATCAAGTTAGTAAAAGTATACTGTTGTTATATCGGGGCTCTGTGATTTACTTACGTAAAGTTATTGCAATTTATATTGATGTGTAAGTTTTTTTTTGCATCCATTTGTTCCTAAATTTTTTGTTACCCAGTGGATGTTGATGTCGTTAAGGCTACGGATATTTTGAATTTATTCTGACACGGCAAAATATCTATGTAAAGTTGGAGCACTAGAAGAAGGTGGCATGTTTGTTAAAAACAACACAGAGGAATAAAAGTCAACCTGCATAGTCCACCATCACGTATTACTTAAACCTTGCTTGATTAGCCTTATATACAACCTATATTCTGTAGTGTGAATTTATTCAGTCGGTCAGCGTTGAAGATTCCCCACTGAGTCTCCCATTTTTGTCCGGGTGTCCAAAATACTTCTTTCCAAGGCTCATCATATGCTTCAAAGAAGTAATACTCAACTGGCAACTCTCTCATTGTGCATAGAAAACAACTAAGGAAGACTTTCAAACTTACCAATCCTGCTTGTGCATAACGGTAGCGACCGCCCCCGCTTGGCCATCCAACCTCTGTGATAACGATGGGGGTGCCAATGTTTTCATTGTAGGGTAATATTTGAAGATCAAGGAAACGCAAAACCCAATGAGTGGCATCTTCAACAGGTACACCTCCAAAAAAGGGTTGTATATTTGCACCAACTACATCACAGTTTTTTAGCAAGTCCGAATCAATAAGGGAACCTATCTCTGATGTACCAACAGGAATATCGTTGATCTTCATAACCTGTAAAAACCTCTTTGCATCTTGAATATAGTTAATCAACTCCGTCTTAGACTTATCCTTCCTAAATAGCACTTCGTTTCCAATGAATATCGAGTTGATGTACCTGGCAGGATCTGGAAGCCTGGTAACAACTTTCTTCATTAAATCCATCTGTTGCCGATTGATTGTGTCATTCTTGCCGATCCAGACACCCATCGCAACGGTCATGTTTAGATCCATACGCTCAATCGCCTCTAATATCAACTCAGCTTGGTCGCATTGCATTCCATATGTTCTGATACGTGTTGTCACAGTCGATAATTTTGCCAAGTCCAACATGGCATCCCGTTTACTGAACCCACAATATGGCTCCATGGCATTATTGGGGGAATAGGCAATGCCATGAAACATGACGTTCGTGACACCTTTCATCAAATCGGTTACCTCGTTGTCACTTTTAACCTCGAGACTTAGTCCATCAACAGAATTTGTTAGGACATCAAAAGAATCCTCTTGCAGTAAGTACTTGGTAACCAACTCCCTCAAATGGTGGGTGTTTTTTCCGTCATTAAAATAATGATTAACGGAGTCCTGAGTTCCAAGAGATAGAATAAGAAGGGCAATGACAAGTCCCACTAAAACGGCACCGATAAACACAGCCACAGATATAACTATCCCTGCTTTCCACCAAGAGAATGTGGTGCTCTTGAAATTTTTGCTTGGGGATGTTTTCTGCTTAGTCTCCTTCTCGTTGGCAAGATCACCACTAGTAAGAGATGTATCAAAGTTTTTCAAAACAGACAACCTCTTATCCGAAGAAGGCGCACTTTCAATATCATCTTGACCGACCTTGTTTAGACTAATCAAATCGCTTCCAAATTTTGACTTTACACCAGTTCCTGTCCTATTTGTACTATCTGAGAAAGGAGAATTTGCACTCGAGTGATAAACAAGCTCGTTTCCTTGAATTTGTCCATTCGTGGGTGCAGTGTCAGATTTCTTGGTGTAAATTACTGTAGCATCACGCTTTTCAACTTGCTTGTCGCTTTGATCAAAATGGAAATTAGGAACAAACTCAGAATCAGTATTGAATAACGATACACTTGACTTATCGCTATCACAATTAATAGCTCCCGCGTAACCTCCCGCATAACCTCCCCTCTTTTTTTTCTCCAATGTAGGCTCGGTTGCAATTTTCAGGACTCGGGGCTGATTTGCGTCTGTACCAAGCTCGAGAACTTCAACTTGCTTCACTTCACTGCTATTTTTTGCTTCATATCCAACCTCTTTTCGTGGCAAATATTTCTCAATTGCCGGTAGTTTAGCTGACTGAGATTCTCGAACTTTGTGTTGTGTGGATTGGATCTGCTTGGTCTCCTGGAGTTCACCCTCTGGTGTAAACGAAGGCTCTATTTCCTCTGTATATGATCCGTAGATATTGGAAAAGTTGGCATGACTTTGGTTAGTAGCAGTAGTAGGAGCATGAACTGGGTTGCCATCACATCCAGAAGGGTTGTTCTTCTCTTTTGGTTGGGGCTGATCAATAGGAGTAGTTCCAAAAGACTTATTTCGAGGGCCCTCACCAATAGAATCCAGACCTAGAGCAGCACTAGCAGAAGCTGTTCCGTACTCCATAAAGACATTGAAGGAAGCTGCCCGTGCAATTTTATATGGATTGACTTTGACCAACTTTGTTTTACCTTTTTCATTTGTGAGTGGCGTATGACTTCTCCTGGGTATATTAGGTGCAGTGACTGACCTTTGGGATGTATGGGCCTTCTTTACTTGCATTTCAGAGAGCCCACTATAGCTACTACTCCCTCCGGTGGTTGAAATTTTAAGTTGCATTTTGGTTGCAAGAATTCCTCTTTTTTTTTTTTTCTGCCACCAAATATCAGGTGTGGTTACTATGCTGATTTCTTAATTCACACACACATAGACACACATCTTAAATGCAATCACATTGTTGTCACATACACCGCAATAGCTACCCGGTTTCAAATAATAGCATTGACATCGGTTATGTTTACACAAACTTGAGTTGCCACGCCATCCCAATCACTACAACAACAAGTAAAAATGTGAATGTATTTGCACACGTCTATAAACCATCCTTTTGGGTATCATGCCAGCTTCATGAATTTTATAAAAGTCTAAATTTAGCACTTGCAGCAAGAGAATATGAGATTTCCGAGCCAAGTTGCACAGGATGTAACACATCCCTCACCATTCTTAGGACAACAATCCACAACTCCAAAGCAAGTAAAGAACTCGATGCAGAACTCAGTACATTCGTTGTGTTCTCGGTGGTACCCGCTATGCCCAGAGAAATCGGAGCCAGAACTCGAGGAAGATGTTGACGACGACATTGATGCATTGGTCTTTTGGCGATTCAAATTCTCAGGATTTGCAGTTCCTGAAGGGTACTCCAGCTGTAGTTTGAATGGGTCTTTCTCATCCATACCTTTGGGTTCTGTTGTGATGACGTCGTCCCGAGGCTGATATTTGGGTTGTTGTTGTTCAGAGTCATCATATACTTGAGGGGACTCTGATATCTCATTCATTGGTATCGATTCTGGCATCTCTGCAATATGATATGTGTGTATGTCCCTGATAGTTAGCTATAATTGCAACCCAATGCAGGTACAAGTGCAGTTTCAAACGTCAAAATACGATGAAAANATGTTGGTACTACAAGTTGTGTGTCTGAATATGCAAACTGACAGAAAATGAAAAAGTGTCGGGTGGGTAGGAAAGTGAAAAAAAAAAAAAAAAAAAAAAAAAAATTTTTTTTTTTTTTTTTTTTTTTTTTTTTTTTTTTTTTTTTTCTCTGTTCGCTTCTCTCATACTTAATTTTATTTATTTCTGAAAGGGGGTTTGTTACACGTGTCACGATATGCAAAGGGAGTAAATGCAGAAAATGGGATATCAGTAACCAGAATAGGTCTTGCGACTGGTATGAAATCGGAAACTAGGTCTACTCATGGCTTTGCTCAAGCATAAAACCGGTACTAGCATCCATTGGTATCGACATTAATCAAGTTTGTCAAGAATGAAAACGACACGTGTATCGCCAGCTCTACTCTCATCACACTAAATTGGCAATACCACACTCACAAGGAATATACACTTTGGTGGATACGACTGTTTTACAAGATGAAATGGGTTGGCCAGAAATTTCAGTCAAGGGCCAAAGAAAGAAACAAATCAAGCATAGATATAACAAAACCAGATTGCATACAAAGCTTGTATGTTTGATTAAAGCCGGGGCACTTTTCAATCTACTACAATCTAGTGTGTATTAGCCGAAATGGCAAGATTCATTCTTGGACGAGGATGCTCGCTAGATTTTGATTGCAAAAGAGGAATTTGAAGTACACACACTGTGGTTAGAACTTTGGCGGAAAACACTGACAGGCACCAGATGGCAGATTACAGAATAGATTAGTTGATTCATACCGACAATTCAAACCCCGATGCAACTGGTATGCCGAGACTGGAGTCACACGGACTTTCAAAAAAAAAAAGAAAGAAAGACTAGTCACCACTAGCTGAATATTCAGGCAAAAAAAGTTTTCGCCGGCATTCACGGAAATAAGTACTCCCATTTTGGGAGTTGAATTCCGCGTTTTGTGTGTAGCCAATTCCGCACCCTAAATTTAATTCTTGCAACACATTTGTTAAAGCCGTGTCGTGACTTTTTTTTGCCAGAATGGAAGAAAAAAAATACAAAAAAACAAAAAAACACCGTTACTAACGAATTGGGCACGAAGTACGATAATGCGAATGGAGCTAAGGGTACCACTTCGTCCAATGCGATTTTCAGTTTGACGTTACTCGCATGGCTATAAATTAGGCTCGGGATCGCACCTTCATAGCATCTCTTGCCCTCCGTTTGAAGTACTAACTAACTAGATCAATTATGTTGCCAATTACAATTTTCGCACTTTTCGTCAAATTCTCCCACCAGTCAGTCATCAATGCTGAAATGCAAGGCGGGTACCCGAATGAGCCTGCTGCTAGAACGATTGGATTTGATCCTTACTCGAATGTGACACCTTTGAATGGTCCATCCAGCACTGGGTCACTCAATTCCACATCTACCACTACTATGTCGACTAATTTGCCGTCAAGTTCAACCTCCAAAGGAGATGCGCCAGTGGTTGTCGTACCGTTAGCTGCTTGTTACTTGGCTTGTCTCTTGTTATAGTCTGCTTTGAATAACACACAAATTCTTTAATGTACTATTGTAGATTACTCTACATGAATAAGTTGACTCCCAACGGACTGTCATTAGTTCCACACGTGTGTCACTTCTGAGCACACATTGCAGTTTGGGTCGGGGTTTCCCCTTTCGTGGCGATTCCCGATCATATTACATGCATTGAACGGCTTTTAACTCTATTCTTTTTCCTTTCCTTTTTTTTTTTGGCTTTCTCGTATTTCGCACCCAATGTGGATACGGAGTTAATGTGATTTAGTCATGAAAAAAAACAATAACAAAACACCGACAGTTGTGTGTCATACACTCAAACATACAAACAAACAAACATACAAACAAACAAACAAATGAAGGGGGCTAACCAGTGGAAGTTAGCGACACTAAAGGAGTACACCGTTTGTTAACTAGGAGAGGATGATGTATAAATACCACAACAAAGTTTTCTCAAGATTGGCTATTTGAGAGTTTTCACTTTCATTATTTAATACAAAGACTACATCAAATGAGACCATCTTCAAGAATCGCCATACTCACATTGCTAATCGCATCAATCACATCTGCTATTGTTGCTCCGCTATATGGCCAAGCTGAAGTATACCATGTAATACAGGAGAAAATGTACCAACCTGCCGATATGGCTGGTGAAAATATCGCAAAGACATTTGCTGGTGGGGACCCACCTGCCATGAGGACAAGTGCGCTAGAATCGATAAACACATCTGCTTCTACATCCGTCAATGGAACGAGTGCTGAACCGAGTGCTAGCAGCGTTTCCAATGGGAGTGTCGTTATGATACCAGCGTGGATTTCCATAATATACCTCATAGTGAATGCACTTTTATCTATATAGATTTATAATGCTTACAAGAAAGGCAGGCAAATCTACCTGTACAACGAAACTCATTCTCTAAATGTATATTATTACTTGTCTATTTTTTTGACTCTCTCTCTGTCTCTCTCTCTCTCTGTCTCTGCTTATTGATTGTTAATTAAATACTCAATGAAAATTTCATAAATGATAATAAATTGGTCCAAGTTTTGAACCATGCCGACCCTCTGTCTTCTTTGATGTTGAACCAATTTGTAAACCAAGTCGATATCCAGGTCCATAACCTTGGTCCTCAGATTCTTCCATGCTTGAATCAATGAATCTAAAGTAATAAACACTCCAGTTCTTCCACATCCAGCAGTACAATGAACCAAAAGCTTGTTGTTCAACTGCTTACCCAAAGTTAGTTGATTCTTGTACTTGATCATGTTTAAAATCGACTGGAACGAATGCGGAACTCCAAAATCTGGCCAGGATAAGTAGTGGAAGTGATAAATTCGATTATTGATTAAACGAAGTTTGAAGTCAGGGTATGGGGTATCAACAACTTCAATGGATTTGATGCTTGGGTGGTTGAAATATTCGATCGGCTTGGCTTCCAAGTTGATAATAACTTGAACGTCTTCCAACTCAATAGTGGACCAAAAATCGTCAATTGTTGACGACAAGGGGTTTTGGGTGGCAATGTAGGTGAGATTGTTACTGATTAATTTGCTTGTGTTGATGTAGTTTCCATTGAAATAGTCATCTTGTGGGATGGGCCGATGATGATGATGATGATGATCATGATGGTGGTGAGGGTGGTGGGGGTGGTATTGGCTATACTGATTGTCATCAAAGTTCTGCTTTTCCACACCATTCTGTCCAATTTTGTCTTTTTCATCTACTGTTTCAGGTTCTTTCTTCACTTGACCCAACTTTACTCTTGAATGTTCATACGGCCACACATTATTGAACCTATTCTTGTAGCCAAACTCAATCCCTTGTGGCAATTGAAAATCAATCGTTGAACAATCGGGACAACAAGGAGAAAATATCTTGTCTTGGCCCTGTATGTTGGAGGTGTGAGGCGACTTGAAATTTGACGCCATTTTATTCAATCGACTCTTTTCGATTTCTTCAACCTTCTCAAATTTTGAAATCATGTACTGTACACTTTCCTCATTCGAACCTTGTCTCATAAATTGTAGCCACTTGGGAAGTGCCAAGTCACTGGGGATATCCCTCAACTTGTACTTGTAAGATGGGTCAGCTCTGGAGTTGTTGTCACCACTTGTGAAGTTAGCCGATCCGTTACTGGACAAATCACTGAAAAACTCTTTATTTGGATCGGACCCCTTCTTCACGTCATAGTCGTTATTCTTTTTGATAGATTGGACAAATTTAGTTTTGAAATTTGTTGCTGATGGTAATGTAAATCCTGATAAACTTTTGGTTTTACGATGTCCATTTGAAGCAGCACCACTTTCGCCATCTGACCTAAGTGGACCAATGTCAACAACACCATTGTTCTGAGTCAACACACCAGCAAATCCACCATTGAGATAATAAATGTTGAATTTCTCATGATATTTTTCAAATTTGGAAATCGTCTGATACAAGGGGAAAGTGATTGCCTCATGGGACGAGCATTGATCATAAATCAAAATCGAAAGTTTCCTAGATTCATGCACATCCTCAGTCTGTAAATGTTGTATGAATATGTCTTTCATTTCCGATGACAAGTCCACCATATTAATCAAGTCAGTCAAGCTTTTCGAATTACGCTTCAATAAAGTTGTTGGTAGACACAAGTTGGTGGCTTTGGTGATTCTGCTTTTGCAAAACAAATTGAATGGACGAACATCGAAAATGAAGTCGTAGTCCTGAAGAGTCAAGTTGGCTGCTGATTGTTCGGAAATTGTGGGTGGAAAACTGGTGGCAAATGTGGATGTAGTTGGAGAGGGTGAGTTTAACTTGAAAGAAGGGGTTGACGGACCCAGCAATGAGCCTGATCTAGGGGTGGAGATGGTATTACTAACAGGGCTTGAACGATGTGGACTATTTGGCTGTAAATAGATGTGGTTACTTTTGTTGTTGTTGTTGAATGAAGTACCGGGAGTGAACTGGTTGTTGTTTAACGGTAATGAGTTAGATTGTTGAGGTTGTATATATAAAGTCCTTGGAGTGCTGGCGTTTTCCTTTGTGTTGGAATTTTCGTTGAGTTGTGGCAGTGCACGAGGAAGCGATGGCAAGGTCATGGGACTTTTGGTGTGAGAAAATTTAGGAGTTGAGTTTTGGCTGGACAGTTGAAGTTGCAGTTGCAGTTGCAGGAGCTGTCGCTGTAGACCGTGATTATTACTTTGTTGTGACTGTGGCAGTTGTGGATTAGTAGATGGATGCGGTGGTGGTGTAGCTGTGGGCGTTGCAAGTGGTGATTGAGATGATGATGCCCTTATGCAATGACTAGATCCATTTTCGGTACCGTGAACACCACTATTATTGGTGTTGTTTGTATGATTGAATCCGTTCGGACTCGAAACAGATGCAGTTGTTGCCATAATATGTGAATGTGTTGTAGCTGCAAGTGTGTGTGCGTATGTGTGTGTGTATGCGTATGTGTAGTCTAGTTATTTACGACTGAAGTGGGTTAGTGTGGTGAGTATGTGTCAGCTGAATATTTACTGTAATTTATTTATTTTGGTTCTTGTGAAAAAGGTGGGTCTGAGCAGTGTATTGGTATTGGTCTCTCTTGCTGTGTGTATGGAAAGAAGAACTATTTGTTTTTGAAAGTAAGGTGTATATTATCTCTGTTGATCCTTGGTTAATGAAGAAGAAGAAGAAGAAGAAAATGATAATGATAATGATATGTGGTGTATACGTTAGATGGTATGAAAGGATTTAAAGTTTGTCAGAAAAAAGTTTTTGAAAGAAAATTAAGTTGAATTTTTAATTTTTAATTTTTTATTTTTTATTTTTTATTTTTACTTTACTTTACTTTCACTTTATTCAAGAGAGAGAGTCATTCAGTTACTATCAGTTATTCAGTTAGTAATAGTTAAGTTAACTAAACACTAAATGGGCTAATGATTATTATTATCACAATTAACTGTATGCAGTAATTATATATATGTTATTTTTTTATTTCTTATTTCTTATTTTTGACAACCAGCTTAAAGAGAGAGAAAGAAAGAGAAAGGAGAATACTTCATGACATCATGACATCATGACATATTTACACATATTTTTGGCACAACGTGTTCATCAAACATCACTACAAACGCAAACAAAATACTCTTGCAAATCTAAACCCTAACTCGGATTCCGCCATTGTAAATCTTAACAAAGTTACTCTCCACCAATAGTAACAATACTCTCTAACCTTCTCTAAGTTTTGGAANCGCCATTGTAAATCTTAACAAAGTTACTCTCCACCAATAGTAACAATACTCTCTAGCCTTCTCTAAGTTTTGGAAAAGTTAGCGTGGTTGAAACAAATAAAAATAATCCAGCACACTCAATCATAAACAAATAAGCAGAATAAGAAAAATAAAAAAAAAAAAAAGGAAAAAAAGAAAACAAAGAAAACAAAGAAAATAAAAAATAGATCGATCCAAAAGACAGGTCTAGACCTCCACAAACAATATTGTAAACAACATACACCCCATACAAACATACCCAAACATTTGTATATATGTACATAGATAGATACGTCATACGCGTCACACACGTCAACAACAATACAGTACAATATAATATATGCATGTGCACCCCCTACCCCAGTACTTTCCTTCTCTCTCCTACAATCAACAATCGATTAGTACTCAGTTTACACCCCCCTACACCTCACTTCTCCCCCAACACTATTCCGTTTTGATTTTTTATAAGTCGTCTATAATTATAAACCTACGATAAAAGTTAGAAAGATTATGAATAATGAAAATGGAATGAAAATAATTGGCTGTGTGTCGTATAATATTATCGCGGGATACATTTTTGTCTATTTTAGAATGACGCAATTCTATCACGCAAAGCAAAGAGACAACAAGAAAACATATGTTATGTATATATTCCCCCTTACTTGCAAGAAACCATCTCAGTGTGCTGTAGACGTACGCAGCGACAAAGAAGTGTACACGTTGCAAATAATACACTGACGCACTTTGTCTGTAGGAATCGATAGGCTTGTCAGTCTAAGTCCACACGTAAACACCAAAAAACGGTCAACGAACGACCCATAAAAAAAAAAAAACAACAACTTGCAACTCTCAAGAATGGATCTCTCATTCCCATCGTTGCTGTTGTTATTGCTAGTGCATAAGGAGGTTTGTAAGCATACACACACATTGTCTATATCAATATCAACAAGTTTTCGTTTTGTTCAATAAAAGATTCAGAGTAGTATAAATAAATTGGTCACGTGTGTTTACTACTACATCCGATATATTAAGGAAAAAAAAAAAGGCACTACTGAATTCGAGTTACAATTTGGTTGCAAGTGTGTGTGTGTGTTTGGGTGAGTGAGTGTGAGTGAGTGAGTGAGTGAGTGTGTGTGTGTTAGTTGGCCCACTTGTCACAAATGCACGACTTCACAAAGTTAAAGGTGAAACCCACACTAAACACCTCTGCACCATCATACATGCAAAACCGGTTTATCAAATTACTAGCAACCTCAGAATATATGAATGTGTGAAGCAGTCATTTCATCAATAAGTCTCATATTTACGGTACTCAAAAACTAATCTTGACTGTAAATACTTCTTTTCACAGTAAAAGACCAAAAGGTCGTGTTGTCCTCAAGGTTCGGATAAGCCTATCTTAGTGCGAAACATGAATGCTAAGCTAATTATCTCAATTGACTGTCCAGTAGGTCACTTTATTTTCACGTGATTTACCTATTGGAAAGCAACGACAGTATTGAAAGACTTAGGCTTTCCTGGTTGACCTATTGCAGCGTCGAAATTGAATTATCAAAACTGGTGGCTTTCTTTTGTACATGTTTTGCGGAGTGCTCTCCTTGCAATATTATTATTTTTTTTTTCTTCTCCCTTGCGTGTGCAATGTATCTGTGGAGTCATTATCAATTCAAGAGAGGCTGACTGCAATTGTACACATACACACACACACACACACATACATACATACAAAGATACAAACTTCTTTGCCAACATGTCAGTGTCTCCAAAGCTACCACAAGATGGTCCAACTTCAAAAGACTCCTCCAACAATCAGCCCAATTACACAGAAACTGATTCACCACACATCAAAGACCAAAATGCTTCGCAGACGTCTTTTCATGACGAGGAAGACAATAACCCATTCCTGCATCATCAAGGACTAAGCAGCTTTAGCCATTTGCATTTGAATAATAGTCAGCAACAGTCCAACGAAGAGGTTAACCCACTGGATGATGTAGACGAATCAATGCTACTATACAAAACATCTAAGCTGGATAAGTCAAGTAAAATCACCGAATCCTTCAATGCTGTTAATATCAATTTTGAAAGTAGAGTCACCAAATTGTTGAAACCTAAGGTTCGAGTCAAGGTACAAATCACTGAAGCCGGCAACTCGAATGAGGGTATGAATAACTCCCTGAAAAAGTATATTGCCTACACCATTAAACTTGTCAACATTGATGCGAAGAATGACGAGGTATTGACAAGACGCAGGTACAGTGATTTTGAAAGTTTGAGAGACGTATTGACTAAGATTTTCCCCTTGGTTATCATACCACCAATTCCACCTAAAAACTATTTTGATTTCTCAGTTTTCAATGGCTTTGTGGGACAAGGAAGTATCGGATTCGGATCAAACATTGGCGTAACGGGTGGCATTTCTAGTTTCAGCCCCCATGATCGGTCAACAGGTCCCAGTGGAGCAGGAGGAGGAGGAGGAGGAGGTGGTGGTGGCGGTGTCAGTGTCAATGTCGGTGGTGACCACGTAGGAGTACCAACCTCCTCAAGCAATACTTCCCCATCAGCTAATGGCAACACCAACACAAGTGATATACACTCCACCACTTCAACGACTCACAATCTATCGAGCCCAACTTCATCACCATACTCGTACATCAACTCAAATCATTTAGCCAAGAACAAATTAGTCGAACATCGCAAACGATTACTATCCAATTTCCTCAACAACTGTCTTGAAATCAAGCAGATTCGAAGTCTTGAGTTCTTCCATAAATTTCTTGACCCCAACGCCAATTGGTCTGATGAAATTGCTTTGATTCAAAATCAGTTGCCCAAATCAATATATTTACTGAATCCAGAAAACGGCTTGAAAACAGATGCAATTTATGCCAACTTGCCTAACCCTTCGTCAGGTAAAAATACCATCAGTTTTTTCAAAGACAACGGGAAAAGAATCACGAAAAAGACAAACAAGTTGATTGGTAATAGCATTAGTAGTAATGCCAGCACTATAGCCGCAGACGCTACTGGAATCAACCCTGCTCCTGATAAATCTACTACCGAAGCACTACAGAGGAAGAAGCAAAGCGAATATATTGTTGAAACATCAGGGTTGGATGAAGTGAATAAAAGGATTACAAGCAACTTCATGGCTCTTTCAAATGACTACGCTGAATTGGGGACTGTTTTCAATTCATTTTCCCTTATGTTTTCCGAAGCTTTTCTTCTTCTGCTGCTGCTGCTGCTGCCAAGTGATGAAGAAGGTAGAGAAGTAGTCAATGGCGGTACAAGCGACGAATCTGGCGGTGCTGGTGGCGCTGGTGGCGCTGGTGGCGCTCTTGCTACCCCTAAAAATGACATTGGCGTTGGCAAGTACAAGTCTAACGACAACGATGATGAGCTAAATTTCATATTTGACAGAATTGGACAATGTTTCGATCGATCGTATGTTGCTATGAATTCGTTGATTGGGGATCTAGAAACGCAATTTTCAGAACCATTGGGTGAGGCCGTTCAATATACACAAACGTTGCATTACATTACCAAATACCAGTCGAGGAAGTTGGCACAGAAGCACATGTTGGATGATGAAGTCAAACACAAAAAGAAAGAATTGAACCAGTTGTTAAAAATTGAGCTGGAGGCCGGTACGGTTGAACATGCAATAAGGAATCAACATAGCAACACTACCAGCAGCGTTGATGGAATGAAATTTGACTTGACCGGTAGTGCAGGCGCCTCCAAATTGACTGGCGCTGATAGCAAAACACATAGGTCAGCCCCCAATGGAACCCCTATGTCCACTGGACCAAGTAATGGGAACACTCTGGGCCAAGCATCTGGTGGATTATTCAAACTTCCTTCTTTCAAGTTCAAGACGTTGACTAGATATGTGAGTGAAATAATTGACCAAAATCCTCAGCAAACGCGAAGAACTAAAATTCATGAATTGACAGATAAGATATCTGTTTTAGAGAAATGCCAAGATATAATGCTTGCTGATTTGTCATTTATATACGATGAAGTTGACAAAAATTTACAACAGTTTCAAATTAGACAGTTGAAAATGATGTACGAGATTTTGTTGTATTACAACCAAGTATTAATTGAATGGGCAAAGAAGAACATTGAGATTTGGCAAGATGTTAAGGAAGAGATTATCAAGTGCTAGGTACTGCAAAATAATATATGAATGATTTAAGACAGCTTCTGTAAAAAATAAAAAAAAATAAGAAAAAAAAACTGGGATCAATCCTCTTCCAAGTACTTTATGATTGGGGGCCCCCATTCTTCAGCTCTCTTGTAACGAGAAATATCTTCAGGGAGACCCTTTATAGCACCAATTAATCGTTGCCTGACTTCAGTTCCATCGGCTTTAAGCTTTGACAAGGGTAATAAATAAGTTCTAATTGTGAAAACTATTGCCTTGGACTTGGGTAATCTGGTCAACACTTGACGCTCGCTACGATAATGCACTTGAGAGTTGAAATCCAACAGGTCATAATCCAAGGGTTGTTGAACATAATCAGCTGGCAAATTGTGTCCTTTGTTACTATCGTCAACGTAAAACTTGTCATGAGTTTGTAATGACCAGTTGGATCTGGTTACAAATTGATGCGGTTGAATCCGGCTGAAGAATTTATTCATTGATGGACGCAATTTGGTGGTGTAGCCGGGGATCCGTTCATGAATAAATGTCAATGGTTTATTAAACCGCTCTAGTGGGTCAAACCCAGCAGCAAATGCAAAAATACCAGCTTTAAAGAAATATTCACCCAGTGTTGGATCATCGGGCTCAGTTTGGGCTTTGGTTGGATCAAGTTGCAAAATGATGAAATCTTCTTCAATGTTTTCAGCTAGATGCTCTTGCAACACAACACCATTGACCCCCTGACCTATTAAAGGGTAAGATTTGCCTGTAATCAAGTTCTTCACTTGACCAAGCTCAAGTTGACGTTTGAAACACATCGGATACTTATCGCACATATAGTTCATAACCATTTCGTAAAACTCAACCACAGCATCATAAGCTTCGTCTGTCATGAATATAGTTGATGATCTCGTATCTTTACCCAGTGGGTAATCGGGATGACAGTTGTTGATGATTTTGTGTTTATTCTCCAAACGATTCAAATAAGTGGGTTCAATGAGCAACCAATCTTGTGGTTGCAACGACGCAATAGACATTGTCAACTTGTAAGCTGCATTTTTGAATGGGTATGATTTCAAAGCGTTGACGCAATCCCATTTGAACTCGGGATCTACGGGGTGGACTTTGTAGTTTGCATCAAAGTTGTCATAGAATTTCGATTTACCCCGTGGGAGTGATCTGTCAATGGAGGCGTTGGCGTTATTTTGAGTTGTTGACTTGGCATTGTGTTTGGTGAGAAATATGTACAAGGTGGTGAGTATGGTGAATATGAGAAACCAAAGCGACGGCGAGTTGAGTGAGTGGTCTATTAAAATGGATAGAGGAGCTCCATACTTTGGAGATGAATCTTTGACAGTTGTATTCTCCATTCAGTTGTGTGGGATGAACGTGCTAAGTTTGAATGCAAGATGAACAGACACTTCTGGAAGATAATTTATTCCTCAAATTTTTCAGTCTCAACGAGAGAGTACAGTCGAAGCTAATGATTATTATATATCGTGAATGCCAAGACAAGAAGTGCTTCGATTTATGGAGTGGGGCATGTAATTAAATGTATGCTCTTGTAAGTGGGGTGAAAAGAAAATAATTATCTGGTTGTTACTGTCGGGAAGTGGATTCCGCTGTTACATTTAGTTTCATGGGTTTTGTGCTTATCTTTCATTTTCGTTTTTGCCGCTTTCGTTTCGCGCTAACAAAGGTTAAGGACCCGTGCCGTTTCAACGGCATTTACATGACAAGACTCTTAAACTGAATTGAAACAGGTTTTCCAGCAGTCACATCAGTGCCGGCTCCTCCGGTTGGCTATGTCTTAATCACAAGGTGGCCGCAGAATATATTTTTGCCTCTTTATTTTCGTCTCCAGAAAGTTGTACAAACTCTGTATATTATCCTACTCCCACACCAAGTATACACTCTGACTCCAGAATATTACCAACACAGCAGAAGTAAGTCACATTACATATCAGTCCAGCAACGATGTATTATACTGGAACATACTGATGTACGAGCTTAGCTTAAGGCAAGAGGAGCAATCCAAGAGGTAATAACCGAGGAGGACAATTAAGTAATACCCTATGGGCAGTTTTGCATGCCTTTAGGTCGTTCTAGTAACACAGAGTGTGCTTGAACAAGTTTCCCGTCGATAATTCCATTTCAATTGCAAGGTCAAGCTGTTATTGCACGTTTTAGGAGATAATAATCGGGTTTCAAAACATTTCCCCGCCTCAACACTTTGTCCACTGGGGAGTCAGTTGTCAAATTGTAGTCCATCCCTCCATACCAGCGCAACGCTCTCTCATTATCTGAAAATACCGTCAATGCTGTTCCCCTTAGCAGTTTGTATAAGGGGTTCGATGATTTAACCAAGTCCGCAGCTACCTTGTGAAACTGGTTAATCAAAAGTTGTCCAAGACCTTTGCCCTGAAGTAAGCTCCTTACATGTATCTCGTACAAGTACAATACCAACTCGCCTTCAGAATCGAGACACATTTTGAAGCATATGTAAGCCGAAATGGTGTGTAACTTTGGGTCAATTAGTAAAACAAAAATTAACCCCGGCTCTCTTAGTTCCAATTTCTTATCCCTCTTCCACTTATTGCCATTATGTTTTATATAGAGTTGCCCAATATTCTCGTCTATGAGTTCGAGAGAGACCTCCATGCACTTGTTGGACATATCCCTAGTTTGACGAATGATTGTTTCGTATTCTTGAAAATCAAATACACCTTGCATGTGATTCATGATTATATCTGCAGCAATAGCTTCAACCAGCTGGTCATCATTCTCTGAGAACTGGTGAAATATCTTGCCATCAACTTCAAACTCTATTTCCATGTACGTAGTCTCTAGTCTTGGTGACGAAATTCAACGCTCCCACCTCCCAACGCGACGCGCATCTCTTCATAAAGTTCAAAGAAAATTGAACCGACGGACAGAACTTAGAAAGCAAAAAGATAATACGCCACGATAAGATGGACCCAAAGAGTGACGACACTGAGTACCTGATGGAGCTATTATCATCACCATCTTCAAGCATAACTGAACAAGTGAACGAAATGCAAAAAAGTCGAAGTAAAGCCAGACTCAATCCACTTTCATCCTCACCCACGCCGAGTAGAACTAGAACCTCGGAGTTTCATCACGTAACCAACCAAGAGCAAGCTCGGAGATTCTCTACAACAAATCCTAGAAATAAACACAACCGAATTCGCCAAGTCAGAAACCAACATCGGTATGAAAAGCTACTGTTGCAGCGAGAAGGTATCTCTGACAAACAATATAAACAGGACGTTGAAAGAGAATATGCGGAGCAAGTACGTGAATATGTAGAAAGTGAACATATTGATCGACTAGTTGAAGACGAGCGTGAGTTACTAAGTGAAAACGAGAGAAGCGGGTTTGATATGCAGGAAGCAGAAGAGAGAGCGTGGGAAGAGGAGATGGAGTTGATGGAATTGATTGGCTCCTTGAATTTGGGAAGTGGATGATGGGGATATGGTTTTTTACTTTTGAGTCATAAATGAACGCGGGGAAAGTGTAACGGGCGACGGGCGGTGCCTTCATTTCTTGATGTTCCTGGTAATTGAAGAAAGGCAATGAGTTCCAAAACCCACAAGGGATAAAATGACGCAGAATCTTGCAACATTGTGAGCATCATAACAGCCGAGGCTCCTTTCGAAAAGTGTGATACCGCACTGTTGTCTCTACAGTTTACGAGAAATGCTGCAATGGTTCACCACGGGATTGAAATGCCAGGGTGCTGCTACGATTTGAGGTGCCCCATCGATCTCTGTTGACGATTTGTATTTACGTGTGAATTGATAGATTAATCCTCGATTCAAAGACCCGATTAGTTAAAGCTGAACAGTGGTGTCCCATACAAATATGTCGCGAAAAACCTCAAGATGCGACATTGTGCTGCAAAAATGGAAAACAGTCCACAGAATATTTGGTTGTAAGAATTTGACTAGCCACCATTTGCTTCTGGACAAAGCTCCAAATATGCAATATTACCAAACTACAATGCATTTGAAACGACTTTTTGGTGTAGGTACAGGTGTTTCCATGTATCCAGAATGCACCGAGTTTGAATTGATATACAATTGCTTGATTCCAATCTCTGTCCAATTGAGAATTGAATATTTGGGATACAAAAGTTGCCTTGTACAAGACGTTAAATTACCCGATGGTGTCGAAGCAACGGTAGGTACAGAAGTCGAAAGCTCAACCACAAAAACAAGTACAACCGACATATATTCAAAGCATCCTGACCTGTCTCATAAAGAAGATGCCATGGTGCACATCACAAAAGGGTCAACAGTGCGAAATCAGAAGGCGACAACCAAGGCTGCCAAGTCAGACAAGTCTTTTAAAGCGAACTTTTCTTGCATTGAACAACCAAGGACCACTTCACTCAACAACAAGGGACATGATGTTACTCCTACCAACTCATCTGCCAAAAAGTCAACACCATTACCGGTGGATGACAAGATCGAATGGGATACCTTGTATAACACAAAGGTACTACCCCTTCTTCCTCCATTTTGGAATGGGCAACTACCCAACGGAACACCACCGCGCCTTGTGTTCATACTAAAGGAAGCCGCTTGCTATGCTCGTATAAACACAAATGTGAAAACCAAATGTGAAGATGAGATACGGTCTTTTCATGAGACCCTTCGTCAGCATCTACTGCTCGATTCAGCTGATACGAGGATCGAAGTCCGTAACGAGTTGGAGCTGAAAATTTACGTTAGAATAATGTCGTTATACTACATCATAATGAACCCCTTTCCAACTTCTTTGGATGAAGAGTATGGCGCTGACAGGTTGCAAAAGTTTGGCAAATTAGCCAATGGAACTTTGAGAGCAATAAAGAATTTGTTGAAACATTGGGGCCGCCTCTTGGCTGGCAGTGAAAGACATTTAACACTGATAAATAGGCAGTTGAATATCAAGGTTACAGAAATCGAAGAAGAGATAAAGAAGGTTCTTCAACTTAGTGAAGAAATTAAGAAGTCTCTGAGAGATCCAGAGATGGAGGAGAGTGTCGCAACCCAAGATGCAGTTGATGCAAATATGCCAAACGAGAGCTCACGTGTGGGACTAGTACAGCATGGGGGCCGGAAAATAGATGTCTAATTGCATTTATAGCAAACAAACTATGTAGAAAGCTTGACTTCGATCTAATGGAATTCATTCTTGAATCGTAAAGATTCCACCACGCACAAGGTCCTTCCAGTTTAACTTGATTTGTGCAAAGTGATTGAGTAGTGCAAATTCCCTCCCCCCCCCCTCGATAACACAAAATCATCTGCCAAACAAAACAAAAAGAAAGTTAGCTTTCACGTTGGAGATTATTTGCGTTGGAAAATTATCAAACTGGAAATGAGAGAACCAGACAATATAGAGCTTCAGCATCTCCACGAGCCTGAGGTAGAAAGTACTTCAGACAGAAAGTGGTCACTTTCAAGATCACAGATTTTATTAATACTATTGCGTTTAGGGATAATCAGTGATGAAGTGTACCGTCGTGGAGATTATCCCATACAAGCATTGCCAGAAGGGGCAGAGTACATTATTGAAATTATCAACCGCATGGATGTATCCGAGGCGATAGAGATCTTGCGGAACGCGTTAGTTGAGCACAAAAATGATGTCAATTTCTTGCAGGAAGATTACCACTTGTTGGAGAGACTCGTACATTTAATTCCACAACACGAGGGGGAAGAAGAGGATAAATCAAGCATAAACTCTGATGAGAATATTTCACACGAATTTAACAAGAACAAAACCTACTTGCACATCTCAGATTGGTCGTTGCAGAGTCGATTGGAGGCTACATTAATCCACTACCATTCGCCATATCCGGAAATTAGAGCCATCACTGACCCAATAGACGATACAGAGATTTTCGTTGAAACGTTTAGATGTTATTTTATTGGTTTCTTCTGGACCCTTGTAGGGTCCATCATCAATAGTTTTTTTGTGCATAGAATGCCAAATATATCATTGAGTTCTCACACGATACAGATACTACTTCTTCCTTGCGGGAAGCTATGGGAAAAGACTGTCCCAAACATGCGAATATCAATTGCGGGCATATCATTCGATCTTAATCCCGGCCCTTGGACTTACAAGGAGATGATGTTGAGTTCCATTATATACCTGTGTTCGGCAGGTGTGCCATATCTGATTTATAATATTTTTGTTATGAAATTAGACAGATTTTACGGCTTAAAGTGGGTTACGGTTACGTTTCAAGTACTTTTGACTATCTCCACTCAATTCTTGGGCTTTGGGTTTGCCATGATTATGAAAAAAGTTTGTGTATATCCAAGCAAAGCTCTTTGGCCCACGATATTGCCAACTATTGCACTCAATCGGGCACTAATGAACGAAGATGCCAACAACAGTGTGTACGGTTGGAGAATATCACGATTTGGCTTTTTCGTTGTCGTTGGTGTGGTTAGCTTTTTTTACAATTGGATACCCAGCTATTTGTTCAAAGCTTTGTCAACATTTAACTGGCCAACTTGGTTTAATCCGTCACTGATACATCTAGTAAATATAACGGGTACAATTACAGGACTAGGGCTCAATCCGTGGCCCACATTTGATTGGAATATTTTGGACGCTGGTGGTTGTTTGACAATTCCATTCTACACGTATGTAAACCGATACATTGGGAGCATTATCGGGTTTTTTGTGATTGTCATTGTCTACTACTCAAATAATTATTTCACTGCTTACTTTCCTATAAACTCAAACAAACTATTCAACAACAAGGCAGAAATTTACGACGTGCACCTGATATTGAATGAGAAAAGTCAATTTAGTGATGATAAGTACCAGCAAATTGGCCCTCCATATTTCTCAGCAGCAAACTTGGTTCTATACGGTGCTCATTTTTGTCTTTACCCATTCGCCATATTGTATCAATTTGTCACTGAATGGGACTCAATGAAGGCAAGCTTTATGAGCGTGTGGATTTCATTTAGCGACGCATTTAAATCCAAACACAGCGATGGCCCCTATGGAAGGTACGCTGATGATCCGCATTGCAAAATGATGTCAAAGTACGAAGATGTGCCAGATTGGTGGTTTATTGCCATAATTGTGACTAGCACGTTATTTGCAGTTGCCGCCGTTTTGTTTTACCCAACTGAAACCCCAGTATGGGGAATCTTTTTCACTATATTGATAAACTTTGTGTTTTTGATCCCTTTGACTTCAATTGCTTCTACAACAGGATTCTCGTTTGGTCTCAATGTCTTGGTTGAGTTGATTGTGGGGTACAGTATACCAAATTCTGGAATAGCATTGATAACTCTTAAAGCATTTGGATATAATATCGACAGTCAAGCTAGCAATTACATCACAGATCAAAAACTTGCCCATTATGCAAAAATTCCCCCAAAAGCCATATTCAAGGGACAATTGATATCCACATTGATAAATATCATTGTCTCACTTACAGTTGCTAACTGGCAACTTGCAAATATACCAGACATTTGCGATGCACATCAAAAGGACAAATTGAGCTGTCCTGGAGCAAACACATATTTCTATTCGAGCATACAATATGGAGAGATTGGACCTAAAAAGGTATTTTCTGGACTATACCCGGTTCTTAAGTGGTGCTTTTTGCTAGGAGTGTTACTTGTATTTCCCTGTGTTTGGTTCAAAAAGAGAGGTCCGATAAAATTGGCAAGATATTTTCAGCCTAGTGTATTGATTGGCGGTTTCTTGGACTATGCACCTTACAATCTTCTGTACTTCACTGGCGGGTTGTATGTGTCGTACTTTTTCATGTATTGGATAAAGAAAAACTATTTGTTGTGGTGGGAGAAATACAACTATATCCTAACCAGCGCCTTGTCGGCTGGAGTTGCTTTTAGCTCCTTGCTCATATTCTTCACCGTGCAGTACAATTCGCATAAACTTGTCTGGTGGGGTAACACAATTAGCGAACAGGGAATTGAAGGAGGCCAGCAACTGTCCGTTTGGCTAGATGCATCAAAGGCACCCGACGGGTATGTAGGGATAAGAAAGGGACACTTCCCATGATATCCGCCATAAAAATGATGAAACTTCACTTCTAGGCACAATTCTCAATAATTGAATTATTTGATCAAAAGGGGGAGAGAACTTACAAGAAAATGAATGCGGTTTAATGGACGTTCTTACTGTACATAACCTATTCATAGATCTTCTACTAATAGCAACCCATTTGGATAGACCAAATCGATTTCCTCAATCCGCTTATCCATTTTCAGTGACAAATCTGTCCTAGGAGGTAACGGCGAAGCCAACTTGAACTTAAATTCAATTCTAAAGTCATCAAATTTACTGATTGCGTCTGATTCTGTCAAAGTTGAAGTCAGATTCAACAAACCCTGTCGAACAATTTCAACAAATACAAACACATCCTCTATTCTGTAACCTTTTGGGAAATAAGCCGTCACTCTAGTGGAATCCGGGAACTTCAACACGATTCTTGCATAATTCTTTGCCTCTTCTTTTGAAGGAGGGGTCGTCAAATGTTCATACTGGCGCGCTTTATACATCAAATACTCCTTTGCCAACGCCTTTCTTTTCTTTGCATTCTTCTTCATCATATCTTGTTGCATAGATGCCATGTAGTTATATTCTTGCTGCTTGCGCAATACCTCACTCATGTACTTGTCTTGCAACTCCTGACGAATCAATACCAACTCGGGTTCGTATTTTGCAATTTTCTTCACAAACTTGTTTCGTATTACAGTATCGGGATCTTCTGGCGGACTAACTTTTCCACCCTGAATTTTGGCGATTAATGAGATTTTTGCCGGATCCTTTTTCGGACCTTCTGGAGTCATTTTCGTAATTCTAGTCAAACACAAGACCCCCAAAAATGGAAACTTCGTGACATTTAAACTGTTTGCCAATTGATAAGCCTCCGGGTTCTTCAAGTCACCGCCCCATATAATGATGTCATTGTTGAAGATCTTAACAAATTCCTGATTCATTATAATCTCGTTGAATATAAAGGAAGCGCCTTCATTCTGGGGGTTAGTCAAGTATACAAAAAGGAATTTGCCTCGTTGGGTGGCCATGTACAACGCTTGGGTGTAGCTCCCTTGGAAGAATGGAGGTAACTGATTTGGGTATTGCGTGGCAATCAGTGGCTGAATGCTGTCCTCCAAGTCTCTGACAAACTTGTTAACCTTATCAATAGGATCAACTATCTCGTTTGGGGAAGGCGCATTAGTCAAATCTCTAAAGCACACGATATTGATGACGGCAGTTAAGACTCGGAATATTAGTAGAAGCGCAATGATAATTGGTTTAGCAATAATCACATTAACGTAGGTTGACAATAGTTTAAACGATTCACGTAGGCTAGTTGTGGGTGGATCACTAACTTGGTCTTGTTGATATGCACCAGGCATAGCATTGTTGCTATTGGAGGGCACATCGTTCTGTGTCCTTTGATATCCTGCCCGGCCAAATATAGAGTCAAATAAACTTGGAGGCGCCATGTCAGGGGTAGAATGGATGTGTTGAATAAAACAAGACCACGCTTTATCTCTTTCTCTCTCTCTCTGATCAGAGCTGTTTCTTCCCTCTGAGTACACGGAAACCCACAAAGGGAAAGAGGAAAAAAGGAAAAAAAAAACACACACACATACACACACATAACAACTGTAATTGTTGTTGCCAGTCGCTAAGGTATTTAGCTCTACTTTTTCACATCAATGCCCCTTTCACTAAAAAGCTTGGTATCTGAGTCTGAATCAGAGAGTATTAAGGTCCAGTTTGCAAAAGTTTTGGAAAATCAATTAGCCAAAATAAGGGCTTTCACCGACTCCTCTTTTGATGACTTGACCAATTCGCATCACACACATCCAGCCTTAGAAATCGTGCAGCAGTTTGGTGACATAACTTCCCAAAGAGCATTCCAAGCTAAGTTGCAAGAAATAAATGATGAGACACCTTCATCAGAAGAGTTTGAGTATTGGGATCTTGAAACGAAACTTTGGAGACTTGTTGAAGCGTTGTACTCGATTCGGTTGAGCTCTTCCGCGACTGACAATGAACTCGAGGACGAAGAATTGAAATCAATCTTGAACTGGTTGCAAGAAAATTCTGTGGAGCCTACTGTACCTGATGTTAAGGGTTCAAGCAACAAGTTACTACACACTGGGCTTTCCTTTGGCAGTGAAAACGACAAGATACTGGTACAACACTTGGATGCTGACGCACCATTGAGAAGTAAAAGGAAATTCGAGCTTGCTGACGATGAGAAGAACTCAGAGGATTTTGCAAACATTTACAAATTTGTAATTTTGGGTCAGATAGGAGCAGCAATAGATTATGCTAAAAACACTGGGAATTTCACAACAGCATTGATTCTTGTTGAAGCACTAGAAGACCGTAACGAGGGAGACAACTTCAGACCGAAAAAAGAACAAAACAGGTCTGCATGGATTAGAGTCCTCTACAAGTTGTCTCAAGAACCTTATTTAAGTCTCTCTGAGAGGTTGATTTGGGCGTATTTGAGTGGAGGTGATATTGGTGAAAACTTGAGCCGTGCCTCCTCCTCATACGAGGAATATTTGAATGTGTTGATCCAAAAACTCCTTGTGAATCATGTTTTAACAAAGGAAGGCAAAAGCAAATTCGATTACATTCATATCCCTCCACCACAAGCGAGATCAATAAGTGAAATTCTCGATGTTGTGTCAGCAGCCAATGGAACAAAGGCGCAAGAGGAAAGCACACATCCAATTAGAGTCATATCAGGTTCTGTGATGATCAACACTGTGGAGTCTATAATCGGATCCGTTGACGAATACGCTGATGAGAATATCTTTAGAGTATTGACCCATTTGGCAATTTTTCTTGCGTTAGTAAAACCACTACAAAATCCAGGACAATTGGGTGATTTAATTACCTTGTATATCTCAAAGTTTTCCAAAACAGATCAAATCGAGTTGATACCGTTGTATTTGTCATTTATACCAAACGAAACCAAATCAAGAGAGGTGTACTCGTTGATACTTTCTTCGGTCACAGACAAGCAGGAACGTTCTAAGCACTTACAAGCAGCAAGACGGAATGCTGCTTTGATGGATGAAGATGGAATGGTTCTTGCAGGTGACGTGGCAAAGGATAAACTTGACAATGTCTTGAAGATGATTGTTGAAAAGGTAATGCATAGCACTGCATCTCATTACGACAAGCATGGTGGAACAATTGTGATCTCTGACGAAGACCTGGAGGACGCAGTGAGCGAAGATGATGTGGAGTTATGTAGTGCTGTTGCCTGGCTTTATGATAACAATATGTTTGAAGATGCCATAAACGCGACGGCAGAAGTCATTCGCCGATTCCTCAGAAATGGTAAATTAACCAGTTTGAGGAGATTTGCAGAAGACAAAAACTTCAAGAGTCTCGTTTCTGCTTACAATCTCCAGGTTACAGGAGAAGAGTATGATGCAGTTAGTGAAAACACAAAACTCGAGTTGGCAAGCTACGAGAACTTTGTGGAAGGGTTGAGGTTGTTGGATCAATGGAGAAGCTTTACAGCTGATAATAATACATATGATGGATCAACTGTTGAGGCTGCACTCGCCAAGACAACCAAACTTATGAACAGCCTCATTTTGAATTGGTTCCAGAGTCTGGAAGACCGCGAGTTGGTGGCATTTAGAGAATCTTATGTTCCCTATTTGATTATGGAGTTGCTTACAATTTATGAAAATGCTAGAGAGAAAGATTGGAAATATATAAGGTTGGCTTTTGATTTGGCCAATCAAGTCGCTGATGATGAGGCTAATGACTTGCTTCGGTGTTTTGAGGCTAGCGGGCAATTAAAAGATTTTTTGAAAAGAGTTGGCCAATTGTCTGCCACTGCTACTGAGAGAGGGTTGAATGGCTTGTACTGTTTATAGAATTAAATTTGCTATAAATTTTTAATTCAATGCGGTTGCTTTGTCATACAACAAGTCAACAACGTTGGACAAGTTCTTCACCAAATCCAACGACGCTTCATAAGCAGCATCCTTTTTTGGCTCATCGTAAATGATGAGCCAGCCATTTCCTTGGTCCAAGACTCCATAAAACACCTTGTCCAAAATCATTTGACTCAATTTTCCCTCCACCTGTTTGACATTCAATCCAATCACTTTTGCAATGTGCTCCAATTCAACACATTCGTACGACTCTATAATCTTTAGCAAATTCACTTGTAGCAATTGATCATACAATGAGTTGAAATGACTTTTGATGATATCGTCAGATTTCAACTCCGCAGAGTACTGGATCAAATTGTTTTCAAATTCTTTCAATGATCTGTTGGAATACGCCACAGCAATCGATTTCATGGCATCTATGTCTTTTGATTGGTATTGCACCACATTCTTGTTCTTTAAGATATTGTTTACATCATCAATCAAATTCAACATAATTTTGGACAACAACATGTACTTCAAAACCTTGACTGCGGTTTTGGAGTTCTCATCCAGCTGCTGAGAGTTGAAACCTTCAAAACTTTCATAAAAGTAGGAGAATGCCGTTTTGTAGTCTTTATCCTCCATGTTTAGGATCCCACTTTGGCAATCCAACTCTGCTTGCAATAATGTTGGACAATAAATTGAATTGGCCGAGGTTCTTGCACTGGTTAAAGCCGCTTTGGACTTTGCAATGTTTCGCAACGCGTGGTATATTTTACTCTCCAACAATTGAACCTCCACTAAAGACGACTTGTCATCTAGTTTTTTGTATTCTTTCAACAATTCATTGATGTATTTTAATGCTTCATGGTACTGATGTTTTTGGTACAAGAGGTCACTTAGTTTCAACTGCAAATTTTGTCTCAAAAAGGATAGCTTGGATTCAACGGCCCAATCAATTGACTTTCTTGTAGCATCAGTTTGCACATCTAATGCACCCGTCAAGTTATCAAAATATTCAATCAATGTCCGAACTATTTTGGCAGTCTTTGACTTTGCAAAATTCCCAAGTAGCTGTCTCGAATCTGTAAGTAATAGGGAGAGCTTCTGAGGTTGATCCAGTGTCTTGTAAATCTTTCCCAATTCCAAAATTGCATTCTCCTGGAGTTGTAACACTTTGGCGGACGTCGAGGACTCGTGCTTGGAATCCTCTAAAAATTTTTGATACTTGGACTCCGCAACATCGTACTGTTTCTTTTCAACAGCCTCCCTAGCCTCCTCTATCAATGCTTGTTGTGACATCTCTGTATTTGACGTGTTTGTGGATGATTGATGAAAAGCGGTCAAAGTTTTGATTTTTGCCATCAAAAGTATGGCGACAGGTTTCCCTCAGTGAGTGAATGAAAGAAAGAAGAAAAAAAAAAAAAGTTTAAAATGAAAAGTTCCCACGCACGACCCTATTTTACAAAGTACCACACGAATCGACCAGAGAATACGCAGATGATGAACATATACACACTGTTCCCGAGGTCTGCGTTGTTGCCACGGGGGGCTTTACTAAGTCGGTCTGTGCCCAGACCTGCTTTCCCCTTGCTATCACGCTGTTACTCATCCAACCCCTTTCCAATCAATCAAACACAATCCAAGAAGGATGGAAAACCAACATCAAAATTTGGCAAAATGGTCAAATACGTTCAATCGCAGTACTTTCAAGACAAGACTATGCCTAGAATATACCTTAGTGCTATAATTGTGTCATTTATCCCATTGTACTTTTATATGCGTGACCGTTACTACGAAGACAAACAGCTAAAGATTATTCGTGAAAAGTACGCCAATGACCCGGATTCGTTAAGTGAGTACGAGTACCTTGCTTTGAAATCGTTGAATCAGACTGATAAGCTTAGGCCATTGGAACAGAAAAAGTACAAAATTTACCAGCTTATGAGGAAAGAGTTTAGACGCAAAAATTTCTTGTCTGGCGAGATGTTTAATCCCACCCCAGAGGAATTGGATGAGTGGTATATGAAGCAGGCTCGATTCGGTGGCAGGAAGAAAAAAGCACCCGTGTTACAGGATGTTCTGGAAGAGTACAAAGTCAATTTTGACAATACATCCATAGCTCCACCCGAAGACACCACTGATTTTTATGATACCAAAGCGAAAGAATATGATGATGCTGTAAAGTGGGAAGAACGTGGAATATTCATGGGAATTAGAAGACGATGGTTGATGTCGCATGTTCAGGGTGATGTTTTGGAAGTTTCTTGCGGAACTGGTAGAAATATCACTTACTTATCGTCATATATTGACAAGATCAAATCCATAACATTTCTTGACTCGTCAAAGAATATGGTCGAAGTAACGAAGGAAAAGTTTGAAAAGGCGTTCCCCAGTTTCAAAAAAGTTGCTTTTACTCAAGGAAAGGCTGAAGATTTATTGAAGATGGCACCCAGAGATCAGTCGTTAAAGTATGATACCATTGTGGAGGCTTTTGGGTTGTGCTGCCACGAGGATCCAGTTCAAGTTTTACGGAACATGGCCAAATTGTTGAAGCCTGGAGGTAGAATCGTTTTGCTTGAACATGGACGGTCAAAATGGGATTTCATCAACAACCATTTAGATTTCAGATCAGACAAGAGGATGCAAAAATGGAAATGCAGGTGGAATTTGGATATTGGTGAGTTGGTTGATGAGGCTAACTTAGACATAACTTTGGAAAAAAGAGCTCATTTGAGTACTACTTGGATGTTGGTATTGAAACGACCAGAAGACCCAATCACTTTGGATGAGAAACCGTTTTTGGATAAGTTGTTTGGAAGAGAAACGAAATCGTTTAGAAAGTAATTCTTGTATATATCCTGTATAAACGGAGGACTTAGTGTCGCTTGTGGAAAACACCAGATCATTTGTTTGAAATGAAATGCACACAGCTTGTAGAAGTATGTCATAGCATCACGCCTGTCTCCTCATTCTCTTCCAATTGCTCCGACTTCTCCTCTTTTTGAACGCTCTTATCAAGCTTGTTTATATCGTCAAGTAAGTTTTGCTCTTCCTTCTCCTTGTTCTCAACGCTCATCAATCCCCTTTCAACCAACTCCAGATTTATGCTTTCCACTCTGCCGAATTGTCCAAGCAAGCTCAACTTATTTTCATCAATCGTTTCGGTGTACAATTTCTTGTCCTCTGATGATATCCCATCTGCGTGTAGTTCGTCAAGTAACTCATTATTCGTCTCGATCAATTTGAAAATAAAATGTCGCTGCTGGTCTTTCTTGGACTCCAATTCAAACTGCGAAACATCCTTAATAGCATTTTGAAATTCTTCTAGTGTCAATGTTGGGAACTCCGACATAGCTGTTGTAAACAAGGAGAAGGTGATATTGGAGGTGGCAAAACCGGAGATAAAAGTTCTTCCAAGTGTCGCAATGATTTCATCGCGACTCAACATTTTGGCGACATGATAAAAAGAAAAAAAGAAAAAAAGAAAAACGAAAAACACGACTTATTGTCTCCTGGCGTTTGGTGTAAACCCCCACCATGATCAACCGTATACGACGTTTCCTACCGAAAGTCAGGAACTTCTCTACTGCCAACCTACAACCAGAGACCTCACTACCCCAGCTCCATCCATTGCTTATCCAGCGTGCTCAAAATCTACAATGCGAACACCAAGAATTACTGAAAAAATTGGACTCGTATGACCCAGTGCTCCAAATACAATTTGATAGGATTTCTCAAATCATGGAAAAATACGACAAATTCGCTTTGCTCAATAATGAGGTTTCTGAGCTTTCCAAAATCAAAGATCAGGAGTTGGTAGAGGATGCCCAAACTGAAATTCAGTCGTTGATTCCTCAATTGCAAGAGATGTGCAATGAATTGAAGAATAAATTATTACCTCCAGTGAAGTATGCAGAGTGTAAAACCATGATTGAGCTTAGGCCAGGTGTTGGTGGGAATGAAGCAAGTTTGTTCACAGAGGATTTGCTCCAGATGTATGTCAGTTTCGCAATGCACAAGAATTGGAAGTACAAAATCGTGTCAACTGGAAAGACCTCAAGTGGGTTTTTGAATGAAGCAATTTTGGTCATAGATGAGCCCGGATCATACGATATCTTGCGCCACGAGAGTGGTGTTCATAGAGTACAAAGAGTACCGGAAACAGAGGCAAAGGGTAGAATTCACACGTCAACTGCAGCAGTAGTGGTCCTTCCAAAGTTATCTGAAGGAAACGAACAGAGTTTACGCAGCGATGAGCTTCAATTTAAACCTGGAGAGGTGAGAATTGATACGATGCGAGCCAGTGGGAAAGGTGGTCAGCATGTCAACACTACAGATTCTGCCGTACGATTAGTGCATATTCCTACAGGAATGATAGTCACTCAACAAGATGAGCGATCCCAGCCACAAAACAAAGCTAAAGCTTTTGCAATATTGCGTAGTCGATTGGCAGAACGTGAGCGGATACAAGAATTGGAGAAGCAAAAGAATCTTCGAACTTCGCAGGTGAAAACTACTGATCGCAGTGATAAGATACGAACATACAATTATCCTCAAAATAGAATAACTGATCATAGATGTGGGTACAGTCTACATGACATTGATGGTTGTATGAAGGGCGAGAAATTGCAAGATATAATAGATAAGGTGACGGAGGTTGAGTATGAGGAGAGGATGGACGAAATGGTGAGCGCACAATCCACTGGCGACAAGGAAGTATAGTAAAAAAAAAAATAAAAAAGTAGAATAAGTTTTACGGGTGTATGTATATAGAGCAGAAGAACGTGTGGAAGGGTCTGCATTGATCTTGAATTGTATTGGTTGTGCATGTATTGATTTCAACTCTTCACTTTGTCACTCTTTGTGAGCAGCCTTTGTTTGATATGATGTGATGTGATATGAGTGGCTACCGTCTTACGTTCCCATTCAGCTCCCTTGTCATAGAAAAGGAATGAATGAAATTCAGGTACGTAGATTTGTGGTCCCAAGTGGTGGGAATGTGTGAGAATACATGAAGTCTATTTTCGCTGGTAATATACCAAGTCATTTGTTTCTTGTTAACATTTGTTATCACTGTGTTGGGTCCTGGTTAAAGATACACCCATTTCTTGGAACACAGCCACAGTTCGGCCTCTACGATCACCGTTGTCCAAAATTCTAGCGTCGCTGTATATTGGACAGCAGAAACTAAATTTTTTCATTTCAAGTTAGTGTCAATTTGTGATCAATATAAGTACAAATTCCCCTTCTAATTACTTTCTAAATGCAACCTCCTCTGGCAATTCAAACGACACGCAAAACATTGGTTTCGTAGGACTCACCATACGCACCTGGTGGAATTCCATCTTGGTAATATCTAACTCATGGCCAATCAATTTGCATATCTTCGTCCATAACCTCTGACTCAACTCTTGCAATGTTGGATCTTCACCATTTTCAAATTTTTCAAAACAGTGAACGTGTATCCAGGGTAGTTTGAACCCTGGTTCGCTGCGAATTTCCGGATGTTTCGAATAAAGTCCAATGTACGCATCGAGAAAAGTCAAGGCGGAGTCTGGCAAGTTCATAACAAAGTGGTGGTAGAATTTAGGTACTGGTATTTCTTCAGTCGTTGTGATTCTGTTGTTTTTGGAGCGTTTCACAATAGTCTTTTTCAACGGACCCTTGTTTGATAACTCATGTAGCAAATCCGCTGCTTTTGAAATGAACTCACGTCCATCCAAGTTCCACGCTTTGACAAACGTGTCGACCTTGTTCAATTCGATATTCTCTTGCAAGTACTTGAAACTCTCTGGGTTCAAATCGTTGGCTAGTACAATGGTATCCTTTTTACCACTGGGCAATGCAAAGGGTCCTACTCCAGCCATGACATCACCCACAACTTCATGTTTTCCGAATTTGTCAACAAGTCTTTCGTGCTCAGTGCTGAGTCGTGAGTTCCAGTAAACTTTGCTGAAATCAAACTTGAAACGACACCCGCTTTCATTCTGCTCAACGACAAAGTTGTCCTCTCCTGCAAGTAGCTCCAAGGGGAATGTCCGAAACTTGTTAGCGATGGTATCCTTCTTGTCAACAACTGTCTTGATGGATGGGTTTTTGTCCAAAATGACTTGTCCAATTAATTTACCATATGGTTTGAATTCGTCTCGTAAGTTCAAGTGCGCGAGATGTCCGGCTTGACTGTACCCACTAGGGACCTCATCCGCTAAATGCTCAGGTAAGATCGCTTGCAAAATTTCGTCACTTTTCCAAAATGAGTAGTCAAGTTGGAGTTGATACGGCCTCAATTCAATATCATACTCTTTGATCTTTTCCTGTGTCTTTTCAGTCAAATCCTCCACCTTCTCAACACCTTCTCTCAACAACACTGCTTTTGAGTTATCCAAATCGATAATGTGTTTAATATTGCGTACGTAAAAGATATCGGGTTGGCATGCCTTCACAAATTGTCCCAAGAACCTAGGCTGAGGAAAATAAGCAGCTTTAAGTGGGATTGTTTTGTGGAAAAAGGAGCGGTCCAATTCCCTCATCTCTCGATTAACTGGGGGTTTATACGACGACATAACTATTGACTGTCTTTGAGATTTAGATAGGTGTGATAGTAGCTTCAAGTTCATGTGGTTTTGAAAAAGTTTTGTGAGTCAACAAGGATTGCCGAAAAATTCTTAACTCTATAGTTCGTCCTCATCTCATCGTCATCGTTAAAAGCACAATACAACACAACACAATGGATACAGCAGGAGTCATCAGTATAACTAAGCCAACCATGCGAAGTGGATATGATGATGATGAAAAAGAACAAGAAGATGATGAATCAATGCAAGTCGAGGATGAGCAGCCGGCTTTTGAACGTTCCGAACAACTGCAAGAAGTTCGAGCAAATGCCATAGTCACACCAGGAGAATTGATCACGAGCGACCCAGTATGGATGAAGGGCCATGGTACTTATTTCATCAACGACAAGACTTACTCCTCGGTAGTGGGTAACATATCGCGTGTCAACCGCCTTTTAAGTGTGAATGCTATACGCGGGAAATATGCACCGGAAACTGGAGATCATGTTGTTGGACGCATCACTGAAGTTGCCAACAAGAGGTGGAAGGTAGATATTGGAACCAAACAAGATGCGATATTGATGTTGGGAAGTGTTAATTTACCGGGAGGGATCTTGCGTCGTAAATCTGAATCTGATGAATTACAAATGCGGTCGTTTTTAAAAGAGGGTGATTTGTTAAATTGTGAAGTACAAACGATATTCAATAACGGTATTGCATCGTTGCATACGAGGTCGCTCAAGTATGGGAAGTTGAGAAATGGTATATTTTTGAGGATTCCTAGTTCGTTGGTTGTCAAGTCCAAAAATCATAGTTATGATTTACCTGGAAATGTTTCTGTTATATTGGGAGTTAATGGATATATATGGCTTTCCAAGACGAAAGCTAAACCTTCACAATCGTCGGCCATAAATTCCAGTGGAGTAAAAGTCCAACAGGGAGCTAAGGACTATACGCCGGGACAAGGTTCGGTGTCAATCACTAGATTAGAGGAAGAAAGTTCATGGGAGATCTATAGTGACAAGAACGAGGATATTAATCAGGCAACGAGGAACAATATTGCTAGGTATTACAATGTGATTAAAGCGTTGGCATTTGGGGAATTGGGTATAACTGAACAACGAATCATAATGGGATACGAAGCAAGTTTGGCGTATTCAAATGTGGGTAGTTTGATCGATAGGGAGTCGATGGAGCAATTGTGTAGAGAAGTTTTGACGAGCGAAGAGATGAGGGGCCAGTAATGCAATTAAAAAAAAAATGTGGGCAAACTGTGTAGATGAAATAAAAATTGATTGTCTATTAAAGGTGAGATTAATTATAGAATGAATTAAAAGAGATCGAATGCAAAATGGTGACAATGATGGGGGGGGGGGGATAAAATGAGTATGTTTCGTGAAGGTAGTGGAAACAGAAGGAGGGGTGGCTCACTTGACGACTCTCCCGAGGTATAGTTTGAACCACAATAGCTGTATAACCCCGCAAACAAATATCGTTGCGCAAAGCACAATGCTGATAAATGTATATCCACTGAAAATCTCTTCGTTGGTATCTCTCAACTTGAACTCCTGATCCAAGAGTTCCTTCACCACGTCATTGGAGCTGTGTAGTTTGTCGATGATATTATTAAGGTCAAGGGACACCATATTCATCTTGTTGTCAAATTCACCTTCAGTGAGGACCCCGTCGAGATATGCAAAGAATTGCCTATACATTTGATAATCGGTTTTCTTGATGTCGTCTTTGATATTCACTGACATTTCCAACTCAAATGTCCTTGGTTTGAAGCTCCATGATAAGTCATGAAATGTGTTGTAGAAGCAAATATGTACAAATTTGGTTGGGTCCAAATCACGATCTTGTAATTTCGCAGCCAGAGAAGCATCGCCTTCATAAGTGACACCTTGTGGATTGATAATGAGCTCGATAGGGTCGGAGAATCTTTCCAATTTCTGTTGGTCTCTCAATTTGTTGCCAAGGTTGTCTAAAACTAGCAAATTCAAGTCTTGCGACGGCAAATGTTCAATTGACTTTATAGTGAGAAAGAGCACATCTTTTGCTCCAAGCTCGTAGGAAATACACTGTTGGAGATTGTCTAGCGAAGGTATTTGGTTTTTCTTCAATGGCGGTACTAGGACCCCAATACCGTGTGAAAGTGGTAGTAGAACAACCGCAAATAGGAAGCAAAAAATTCGTAGTTGACGTGTATGCATTGTTGATACTGATGCTGGGGAAAGGTGGAGATTAGATGACTAGAAGCGAGTGGACTGAGCGTCTGTGTGTCTGTGTGTGTCTGTGTGTGTCTGTGTGTGTGAAAGATTCTAATAGCAAAGGGTCTTTAAAGCATGTAGTGACTTCCACACAATATCAACAGGAGAAGGAAGTGAAAAAAAAAAAGTAGAAAACGAAAAAGTATTAGACTACTCTGTGTAGTAACGATGGTGGTACTCTAGTGTATCTGTGTATAAGTGTGTAGGTGTTGGTGTTGGTGTTGGTGTTGGTGTTGGTGTGATTGTAGTAAATGTTAAATCAAACCCTGTGTTGTTGTGTCACCAAGTAGATGTAATCTCGTAAGTTTCTAGTTTTCCATAATTTACTACTACTACTACTACTACAATACACGTTTAACAACCAAATTTTCTTTTTTTTTTTTTTTCTTTATTTCGAGAAGAGAAAAGAAAAAAGAAATTTTCCTATTTGATTATTTAGAGTAAAGTAAAATGAAACGCGACAAAGACCTAATTAGACCTAACAAATTTGCATAATAAGTAGTTGTATGTTCAGTTTCAATCCTCTTGAGCCTGTTCTTGTGTGTGTGTGTGTGTGTGTGTGTGCGTATATATACATTTGCCTCTTAGTTTCGTAATAAAACTTGTCACAGCCCATTCTATCGAACGAGTGTGTGTAAAATGTGTATTGAAAACTAGGGGTCGTAATTTCAAAAAAAAATTAAAATAATACGTGATGTACTGCATATAAGCAGTATCCCTTGTGTTTTATTTTTTTTTTTTGCTCGAAGCAAAAAAATTTAAGTCTTTGTGTTGTGTTTGTATCTGCTGGACGTTTGGCTGAACAACAGCTAATGTAATGTATGCTATCTACACCAAACGAGGGAGGGGACGGATGCGGTGCCATTCATATCAATCATAGTCATCAAGGCTTGATGATTCAAAAGGAGAGGGAGAGAAACTGCAACAATTCACTCTTTTAATTATCATAGTTTTATGGTTTGTATTGTCTCTATGCTCTCTCTATTTCTTCACCAAGCAATTGACGCGTCATAAAAATAGGTGATCACGTGCGCTTATATTGTTCTCCTATTGTCCCGTCCTATTGCTAATTGCTTTTGTTGTCACAAGACTTCTTACCTTTTCAAGAAGGTCACACTCGATAGATTAAATTATGTATATGTGTTTGTGGTCTGAAACACCAGAGATTTCTTTATTGCGTTTGTTCGGAGATAAGCAGCACGTGCTACTCTTATTCCCGCAACTTTTTTCTTTAACCCCTACAAAGAATTCCGTCTTTTTTTTTTTATTTTTTCTTACTCTTCTTCTATAAGATCAGTTCTTTCCTACACTTTGTTCGTCTACCAAACAGAAGTGGTTTCTAAGATTTAACATACGATTAGTTTCCCTTTCACATGCAATCAAGTTTCGGAGAATTGCACTCTAGTTTAATCCTTATCTATTTCATCTTCCCTTGCCCAATCACCCATCTCCCTCACCCTCCCCCTTTCCCTCTCTCTCTCTCTCTCTCTCTCTCTCTCCACTATAATTACTAAATTGCGTGTGGACACTAAAGCGGAAAAAAAAAAAACGATAGATGAGAAAATTTTGAAAGACCCCACTTGCTGAAACTCTACGTATATAACCATCAGTTTCTTCCCGTAACAAGCTGTCCTCATTTTCTCCAATTTTTTAGTACAGCAGTGGTGCGACAATGACAAGCGACAATAATCCTTTGACCACAGTTGACATATCCTACTTAGACGACCCCAAAATCGCCAAGGAGCTACTAGACGCATTGGTATCGCAAGGATTTGTATTCATCGATGGTCATAATTTCCAGGCTAGTGAAGTTGACAAGATTTTTGACATATCCAAGCAATTTTTCAAGTTGCCGTTAGATTACAAGAGGAAATTCCCCTTTGATAGTTCAAATAGTGGGTATATCGAATTCAATCGGGAAAACCTTGATCCCAATGCCAAAAAGGATTTCAAAGAGGGGTTGAACTTTAGTGGTATAGATTTCACAACTGGTGGGCCATCAGGTGCAATCCCAGACTGGTTTGTTGAAGAACAGGAAAGATACACATTTGTCAAGGATATGACTTTGAAGTTGAATAAATTGGCCCTCGATTTGCTCTTGCTTTTAGCTAAAGGCCTTGAAATTGAAGGTAATGACAAAGAAGGAGGAGTTCCAGGTGCTGAATGGTTTACTTCGAGATACAAGCCCACTTCCAAGTCCGGTTCAACTTTGCGGTTTTTGCACTACCCTGCTCAAACCACAAACAACAATGGCGATGGTGAGGTGCGTGCTGGTGCCCATACCGATTACGGCTCAATGACTCTTTTGTTTCAAAAGAAGAACCAGGAAGGGTTGGAGATTTATAGTCCTGTGAGTAGGAAATGGGAAAAGGTGCCGTTTGTCGATAGTACCAAGCCAGGTATGGCTCCGCCAATAATTGTCAATATTGGAGACTTGTTGAGCTATTGGACTGCTGGGTTGTTGAAGAGTACCATTCACAGAGTCAAGTTTAGTAATTTGCAAACGGAAGATCGATATTCGGTAGTGTTCTTTAGTCATCCAAGTGACGAAACGTTGTTGGAACCAGTGCCTAGTAAATTACTAAGAGATCGCACTGGTAGAGGTGTTGCAAAGGACACCGAGTATATCACAGCTTTGCAGCATTTGGAAAAGAAGTTGGCAAACACTTACGGGTACTGAAAGTAATTGTTATGAGAGTGGGTTAATAGAAACAGTATTGTGTAAGTACTGGGTTAGGACCACGCCGGTGGTATTGTCTTTTAACGGTACCGACTATGGTATAGAATTTCCCCTGGTACTTCGACGGCCCGTCTTCTATGCATTCCGAAATCTGGTCTCTATCCAATCATAGTCCACGATTTGCGCAATCTGCTACATGATTTCTTTTTTTTTCTCATAGAAGATTGTATTGTTCCGCGCGCGATTTTGTGTAGATTTCTTATCTCTGATCCGTAGATAAACACAGAAAGAGCAATGGAAGAAGAGGAGAGCATATTTGAAAGGGGAAACCTGAAAATGTAACCACATCATACACTTTTAATTTTCTTTGGCCAATAGCATACATGGAAAGAAGCCTTCTCCCACCATGACGACCATTTCCTCCCCCACACACACCACAAACATGTTGTTACCACAACGCACATCCGATCCAGAGCAGGTGGTTGATTTTATTACTCAAGAGGAGAAACGTAAATACAAAGCTGGGATAATACTACTCGTAATATCGATCGTGGCATGGATTGTTGGGTTGGAGTTGGTCAATGGAGTGCTCAAAAGTGACGAGTATAGGAAGCCAATATTCTTTGCAGTTATCACTGGGTCCTGCTTTTCATTCAATCTTTTGTACGACTTACTTGAACTCACGAGGAAACCGGTGCTGGATGAAAACAAGCCTTTGTTGATTGCTGACAAGCAGGAAGAACAAGAAAGTTCAATCTTGTCTGCAAAAGAAGTCTTGATTATTGCTTTCCAAATCGCCACAATTTACCTCTTTTACAACATCTTTGTCATGGAATCACTAAGGTTCACCTCAGCTTCAAATCAAACCGTGATTGGGTCCTTGACGTCGGTGTTTACATTACTAATTGGGGTCCTTATCAAAACTGAACGGTTCTCAAAAATAAAGGTCATATGTGTCGCTGTCAGTTGTTGTGGTGTGTTTTTGGTCAATTTGAGTTCAGTGGGTGACCAAAATGGGGAGCACAAGTATACTCCAAAAAATCCAAAACTCGGAAACATATTGGCTTTGGGTGGTGCTTTATTCTATGCTTTCTATTTATTGATTATGAAATTCAAATGCGGAGGTGCCAAGACTACGAATGAGAGACGGTTGTTTGGCTTTGTGGGTGTGATGATATTCTTGATGGGGGTTCCTGTGTTGTACATTGCTGATATTATGGATGTGGAAAAGTTTGAACTACCTTCCAACAACACCATCTTGTTTATTGTTGTACTCAATGGCGTTCTCACTGTTGTGTCGGACTACACATCCATATTAGCCATGCTATTGACCAGTCCCTTGGTTGTTTCCTTGACATTGACCAGCTCCATACCCATTACAATTTTCATTGATTACGTGGTATTAATCTACACTAAGGAGCCTATAAATACCAGTTCAGTGTACATTTTGGGTATACTTTGCATCTTTGTTGCTGTTCTTCTCGTAAACGTCAATGTTGCATCGGAGAATACATTGATTGAGGAAATTATTGAAGACTCGTTGGAATCGGCAATCCATAATGACGAGCTCATGTCACCAATATTGTCGCCTCTTCTCGAAGAAGGCTCTCTGCATCAACATCAACATCGTCGCCATCACCATCTCCAGCATCCAATCAAATCTCCATTCCAAATGATATTCAGTCCTGAGATGAGCACTGATCACGAAATCCCCATCCCTGCTAGAGACGTCACCACATTTAATCTCAATGAAAACGATGAGAGCCCACCAACGCGTAACCTCAATCATGACCCGTCAATCTACACTTCGAAACCTGATGCGCCAACATTGCATGTATCTAGTGGAAAGAATCATACATACGACATCCATCTTGAATAACGAAAAGTTCAAAACCATCTATATCATATTTCAATCTCTATTAATACTTGTATGTAATTTATGTTCTCTCATGAATAATGACGAGATGACTCCGAGAATGATAATTCCAAAAGCAAAGTAAAATGCACCTCTACATCCTTCATCGTAGGAAGATCTAATTGCTTCTCTAACATACTTTGGTGCTTCATGGACATAGTTTGTATCCTCCAACGCTTTCGAGATAATCTTTCTAGCCTCTTCTGGATCCTTGACCAAATCCCAAATTTTCCTCAGTAAACTTGGTGCAAGAACGGTTTGGAATATAGCTGATGCTGCTGAAACTCCCAACGTAGATCCAGTTGATCTGAATGTGTACTGAATTGACGTTGTGCAAGCCTGGTACTTCATTGGAGTAGCCGCAATCAATGCAAGTAATGTAACCGTCAAGATACAAGAATATGCCATTCCTTGAGGAATCATCATGACAAACTGTTGCCAAACTGGAGTGTGTCTATCAAGAAGAGTGACTCGGTAAGCACCGAGTATGGCCAAGATACCAGCACCGACAGTTAGTCTATAATATCTTCCTGTACGCTTCATATAATACCCAGCACCAACAGAACCGATGGAAATACCGCCAAAGTTGGGTACCAACCGCAACCCATTTTCACTAGCTGACAAGTAAAGAACAGAAGTATAATAAACTGGGACGTAAAACATGATTGCGAAAATCCCCATTGTGTAAAACCAATTGGTTAATGATGAAGCCAACACGGTTCTATTTCCGAGCAATTCAATTGGAATGATGGGCTCTTCGCTCACGTATGCCTCTACATACAAAAAGGCAAGGATCAACGCAAAGCTTGCTGCAGAGAGCGAGATGAAAGTTTTCGACGTGAATGCAATATCCCTCCCACCCAATGAAGTGGCAGTCAAAAACATCATCAATGCACTAATCAAGCAGAAACTTCCCAAAAAGTCAACTCTCTTCAACTTTTGCCTAATGTCTTGCCCGTGCGCCCCCAATCCTGGAGAGCCTGCAGGTAAGTTCAAATTGAAATAGAGTGCAAACCCAACAACTGCCGCAAGGGGAACTTGCAAAATGAAAACATACTTCCATCCCAAGCTGTCGGCAATCAACCCACCGAAAAACCCACCGGATGCAGCACCCAATCCAAAACAAATGTTTGCGAGCCCTTGATACAACCCACGGTCCCGCAATGGGATAAGGTCCGACATGGTAATTGTGCCGACTGCAGTGAGACCTGAACCACCCCATCCAGTAATAAACCTGCCAAATACCAACCACCATAACGAATCAGTGGCACAGATGATACATCCAATACCAAACATGAGTGAACATCCAATCAAGATGAATTTACGGCCAAATATATCTGACAATTTTCCAAAGATTGGCTGGAATGCCGATGATGATAGCAAGTAGGATGTAGCGATCCACGATATGTTCTTGACTGCCTTCAACTCGGAAGCAATGATTGTTAGCAAGGTGGTGACTACAGTAGCATCCAATGCTGCCAAAAATGAAGCCATGAACAAGCTCGACACCACTGTGATCAATTGCTTTTTGGGCAACGCGTAGCCCCCGTTAGGTTCATCGATTGCGTAATCTTGGGAAGATCCTTCTTCTGCTGCACCATAGCTGTGTGATTTCAACGTTGTGCTACTGAGTAAACTGCCATCCTCCGCGGCTAACTCCGATGCAATTATACCGGCTGAATCCGCTGAAGCATCATGGATGACGTTGGGGTGAAATTGATGGTGATGGTGAGGGTGTTGTTGTTGTTGTTGTTGTTGTTGTTCACGATGCTGGTCGTTTCTACTATCTTGCTCACTAGACATCTTTCTTGCTTAAACCTACTTCGAAAAGAAGACGGTGATTTGGCAGTTTGAAAATTTTTACAAGGTTTTTGGTCGACTGTGGCTCTCTCTCTCTTTGTAAATAATTTTTAGCGCGATTCTATTGTTTTGTTTATCTATAAAATTGATGCGGAATTAGGCGGATTTCATACCGAAAGCGGGGGTTGAAACGCCCGCTCAGAGCACTAAAAACATTTAAAAAAAAAAAAATATATATATATATAAAAAGGGCTTAGCATAATTTGACTCCGATTTTGTCGGATCTGAGATAATCTCAACTGTGGGTATCGTCCGAATCTGGTTAAGCGCCGTTATCTCGAAACACGGTTTTGAGAAATTGGATAAAGAATGCCTCAATTCGTCGACGTTAAGTAGATCAAAATCAATTATGTATGTACCTCACTTTTAATTGGGTGTGAGTCTGAATGGATTCTATGGTGTAAACTTCTTCTATCTCGGATAGATTTCCTGCAAGCCATGCTGTTGATGTGATTGTAGACAGAGTTTTGACACCTTAAATAGAATCATATTATCCTACATGAACCTGTGCAGATGTGATAATATCATTATGAGTTGCGCCGCCTGAAAACAATGCGGAAATTGATGATAAAAGAAGCTGTGAGCGAGTCACCTACTAATGGGGTACTGGCTTATGGTAGTTATGATGGTGGTTTGCACATAACAAACCAGTTGTGAGTGATATAATTAGGTTTGTTTGTTATAGTGCGTGTTTGATGGTGGCACCTATATAAGTTTCAGTTTTCCAGCTCTCTTTCCTTAATCGTTCCAACAGTATCCCATTTTGTGAAAATTTTTAATTCAGTGGATTTGAGAACCCAAAGACGAAAGCCAAAATGACTCAACAATGCCCTTAGCACTGCCACAACGCTATTCCAAACAATGCACACTAGCTTGGTTGCTTGATTGCTACATGCTAGCAAAACCCAACAAAGCCATTTTGGATCTGACAAGAGAAGACACTCCTGATAGCGAGGCGATTTGTTATCTTCAGTATATTAATCCCGACTTCAATATCTCTTTAGTGAGCTTGGCTCTATCAACCTCATCTTCAATCTGCTCTCAGTTTCATGTGATCCAAGGCCAAGACTTGCATGGCGAATGTTGCAAAGCATAGGCGTCTTTGCTCATTTTTCTACCGACTTATATTCAACTAATTGGTGTTCTAAGAAACCTCAAGTCAAATACTTTGACAGGACAGTATACGTTGTGACTTAGAACACACATTGAATAACAGAAAAGATCTTTGGATCAACTGCTTGTCCTGATGTACTTGTTGAAACTTCAGATTGAAAATAAAGTAACCAACAGACTACGATTTACTTCCCCCACTGTCTCTTAATTTGTTTCCAGATACAAACAACACATAAATATCTACACATACACTTTAGTCTTATCCTCAACGTCGTCTCAAGTGTTACTTAATGTGTTTCTCCAAGCCTCTTGTGATTACTTGTTTGTGGTCGTGTGTGTGACGAGTTTTGGTTGCAAAACCTCTCACTTTCGTGTTTCTTTTATTTTTTTTCTCCTCTTTGCACGCACATTTCTGCCACAAACACCGTTCACAGATAGATTACAACAAGGTATCAATTATAGGCTGTTCACAGAGGAGTAGTTTTGGTAAGAGACTTAGATGTATCATCCAAGTATTCCAGTGTTTAGCTACGCTACTTATAAATGGTTTAAAGCTTTCTCGAAACACTTACTTGCAGTATATTTTGCATGTTTTTGCCCTTAATTTTCCTGAGTGTTGCAAAAATAATTTGTTATTCTCAATTTAACCAGTGTATACCTAAAAAGCCGCCGAAAAGAGTTACCATTAGAACATTCACCCCCCTTCTTTTCTTCTTTTTCTTCCCAATCATTCACCATCCCCCTTTCCCTCATCGATATCGTATTCGATAATGAAGTCTGTCAACGTTAATTTCATCACCCCCGACGAGTTGTACCAACTTATTGACTTTAAGACTGTCGACGTCACCAAAATCCTTCCAGGATTCGATCCATCAGCTGGCTTTATGCTCACTTCGCCAGCGTATTTCACTCCATCGGAGGCAAACCAACAACCTACCATTCATTATGACGCTCCGGAATCTCCAATCCAAACTCAAATGGAGCAAAAGTCGATCAATCAAGTTGAAACAGGTCTATCAATATTGCTTGCACAAAACCAATCAACTCCAATCTTTGGACCCACCGAATGTGATAGTTTGATAGTCCAGTTTGATGAGTTGAGTCTCCTTGAAGTTGAAGAAGCCGGAGACCAAGTGAGTGAGGATGGTTATCAAGTGAGTGAAGGTGAATTTGAAGTAAGTGAGGATGGTTATCAAGCGAGTGAAGGTGAATTTGAAGTGAGTGAGGATAGTTATCAAGTGAGTGAGGATGGTTATCAAGCGAGTGAAGGTGAATTTGAAGCGAGTGAGTTGGACTTGGAATTGTCAATCATCGATGACAGAGAATATAAGTTGTGTGAAAACATGGGTCGCTACTATACAGTGAACGTTGTGATGCAAGATGAGTGTCCTTCTGTTCAACATATGACCTTCGGGGAGTGTCCTGCTTGGTTGACACAGCAACCAAATCAAGTCGCGGACGAGAAGATGACCATCACTGAATTTAAACAGTTGATGAACAAGTCAAGTAACGATTTTGTGGACAAAAAGCACATAAACAACACAAAACCTCACAATCTCACTGGCGTATTTTCGAGATATGACAACCTCTTAGAAAGAGGAATAATTCCCGAACTCTGGGAAGATGAGGGTGTGGCAGCTTACAAGAAAAAGCTTAAACGACTCGGAATTACCAAGTCAACCACACTTTTGGGAATTATTTGTCCACCGGATAGAATACTGTATGAACAAGAAGATGGGGCTGACGAGGTGACAGAAGAAGACATAGTAACAGGTGTGGACGAAGAAGACAGAGTAACAGGTGTGGACGAAGAAGACAGAGTAACAGACGTGAAGGAAGTTGGCTGGGTTCCAGCACATGAACTGTATGTGGATGGAGAGGTGGGCATCCCATCAACACCTCAACGTGAAGTATATTACGTCGACGACGAAGATGAAGAAATCCCAATTGTTCATCCGCCTGTTGCAGGAGTGAGGACTGGTAACGACTTGGAAAGAGCGAGGACTCGAAAAAAGTCCAAGGTGTTCAAGAAACGAGCAAAACGACTCTTCAAGAAATTCAAGAAGCTCTTCAAACGGAAGCCAACCTTTGAGCTGACATGTCAAGCGTACCTCAAATGCATATTTGAAGGTGGACCCAATCCAGATGACACGGTGGTGGATTCTGATGCATCCAGTGAATCATTGTGACTTTGATGGCAAACAAAAGGGACAGCTGTTGCATGTAAAATGTGGTTCTGATGTTGTGATGAGACAA